TAAAATCCCGCATATTCGGTGTACACACGATTCCGAAATCGGTATGAATCAAGCAGCAGCAGCAGCGGCACTAGCACATCGCATAGTACGAACGAAGTACGGTGACAATGATGACAATGCCTCTCTCGGATGAGAATCATAAAGTTGCCTTCGCTACAATGCGATGTCGTTGCTCATGTGAACCGCATTCGGATACATAAAGTCACACACATATTCGGTCATTCAGCGCACACCACACTACAGTCTATCGAAGCCGAACACACAAAATACACCAACAACACGGGCTACCGATTCAGTTGCTCGCTGTTAATTCATAAGATAACTGTACCGTTTCGTCATGGCAAGCATGAGACCAGCAAATTGTTGAACGCTGACATTTTTCATTTTCGAAAGAAAAGAATTCTTTTGTGATTTCAACTTGAAACCAAAATAAAAATCATCCAACACATTTCCATGTATAGTTTTGCTCGGCATTGTTTATATAATACACACATTTCCCTATCAATGTACACGACAACGACCCAACGACTCTTCCTTTTTTCTCTTCCATTTGCATTGTTATGTACGTGTCGTTGTTGTTGTTGTTTTTTTTTTGCTCTTCTGCCCATATCGAATATCATTCTTATATGATTCCATTTCGTTGGATTGTGTACATAAAATCAACATGTTCTGTGCTCATTTCTTTTATCCCGACTTGTTTCTTGATGAATTCTTCTTCGTTATTTCTCTGCTCGTGTGTGTGTATGTTGGTTTTTTCTTGACTATTCCCACTGAATACATTTTATCAATTAACCGACATACGATTTATACTTGTTCAAATGCACTTAAGCGGAAAAGTTTTCGACTCGTGCGCACGGCACAGAACTGATAAAAGGAGCAGAGCAAGACAATGAGCTTGTTAGATTTTGTCTACAATCTTCTATGTTTACAATGTAAGTTTTACACACACCGAGATACACACAAAAGACGGAGAATTTTAATTCGAAGGAAAATCACGGAATTTCATACAAGATTGTGCAAATTTGGTGAATTGAACGCGTGTCACATGCAGCAGGCAACTCGCCCCAGGATGAACATCATTTTCGAGTGTTTTGCAAGTATTTGTCGCTCGTTTGATGACAAAATGTCGTAACATTGTTTCGAAACGACCATTTTCTCTCGTTTCACCGATCATTTCCGGCTGCTTGCCTCGAACATATTTTTGATCGAAGCCATTGAGAAATACTTTGGTTTAAACTTCATTGTAGGATACTAAGCGCACAAGTTAAATGTATTTACCATATTTATATATTATTATATATATTATTATATTTCAAAGATTCCGGAACATCCAAATAGAAAATTCATTGCGAAAAAACAATCGTGTGCATTCTCTCTCTCTCACACACACACACACACACACACACACAAACAGACACACAACAAAACTTGAGCGAATCTTTCGAACGGATAGTGCAGTAATCAGAAGTAAGACGCAGAACAGAAAAGGAGTACAACGTAGACAATTTTAAGTGGAAATGTACACAGGTTTTTCGTCGTTCATTCATACGTTGGAAAACCACAAGCAAGTTGTTTGTTGTATTGGGCTTGGATGTACTGTGTTTGTCTTACAATGAAAATCGAGCATGCGATTGACGCAAATATCCGGCAAGCCACTCGAAGGATGTCGATGTATCGACCGAGTTTTGAAGCAGAAAGGAATACGCAGATTGCAAAAATGCAACGCAGATTATTAGATTTACAAACAGAAAATCACATTTGCATTTTATGCTCCATATTGTTTTCACTGCACGAGACATTGTGTGCAGTAATGTCGATGGTATTGGCGACAGCTTTCGTTGAACATTTCCAAAGTGTTGCAACAATGGCCGTATGATTGCAGACGTATTGTTCTCGCTCATAACATGCATGTGCAATTCTGGGGAAGACAAGCAATTGAGCTGTATACGCTATGGAAAAGAAATGGACAGGCAAGCAAGCAGACGATCTTACTTTGTTCAACGCTCAAGTTCGGATTGTTTGCCAATAACGGAATTTCACTGTTGGTTTATCCGATTTTCGTTTTTGGTCGATGTTCACGGTTTTAATTTTTCTCTCTCGAATTTGTTCGCCAAGTTAAGCTAAAACTTGTTTCTGTTCTTATTTCGAGAATGTGCGACAAACACACACAAACAAGACAACGATTGCAGCCAATTACCGAATGCTTCTAATTCAACAACACTGGCATTCGACAAATTTTCATCCTCATATGCAAATGACTCTGGCCGGCAAAATCCGTGATTCGCCTCTTGTAAAAATGGTAGAATTTATTGAAACCACGGTAGAAATATATTCTCATCTATTGTGGATGGGGCGAGATTTTGTTATTTTGTTTTTTTTTGTTTTTTTTTTTTGTTTTTTTCTCTTGTGCCAACGCAAAGAACTTTTGACACTATTCGAAAGGCGATCATTCAAAAGTTTTTTTTTGGCAAACAACCATTCAAATTCTGATATTATAAGTCACGTCACAAAATACACAAAAGCGAAATTTAACGTGCAAATTATTCAAAAGACTTTTGGTTCAAGGCGATGCTTCGACAATAAATCATATATTCGTTTATGTGTGCGTGTTTTTTTTCTTCTCTGTGTGTCGGTTCTAGCGCGCGCCGGACAAGCCATTTATATATTTGAAATAATGTGGGACCATTTTTATTGTTTTCGTCTTACTTGGAGCGAAATCTCAACGACCGCACTCATCATGGGCGAAGTAAACAGAAAGAAATCGAGAAAAAAAGCATCAAAAAGGAGAAGGAGAGAGAGAAAATGGAAGGAAAGAGAAACGGCTTCACCACGTAACGACTGTGAAAATTTATTCGTCTATGGCAACGAAATTTTATGGACGATGGGAAATGAGAGCCAGCGCTCGTGCCAGATTAATGTTTGTTTGATTTGTTTTTAGCACCTACGTTCCTGCCAATGAATGACTCTACCTTTTTAATGGTGGCCCGATTTTACCATTCAAACCCAACACTGCTGGACCGATGTAACTAAAAACGGAATGCGTGAAAAATCTAGCAAAAGCCGCCATAATTAAACATCTAACGGGCATTTTATTTTCCAATTCCGTTTCGATTTTCCATCCACAATCGTTAAACAATACGGTCCTTGAACTTGAAATCGCAACGAAATAAAATAATTTCAAAATTAATTTAAATTGCAAAAATAATACGAATCTCAACGTAAGCACAGAGACTAAAAAACACCGTTCATATATAGAAAAAACGGTATTATTTTTCTCTTCATAGAAAGAAAAAGAGAGAAAAAAAATCCGTCAAAAAGGTGATATTTGCATGGCATCTCAATGCTGTCAGCTCCACATTTCTCGGCACGAACGAACGAGGAACAAAGGAGAAAAATCAATTTCAAGGAAGTGAAACGAGGCAAAGACAAACAACAACAACGTAAAGAAGAGTATTCGGGTCAAAAGTGAATTTCATCGATCAGGAAATATATTTGTTTGAAAGCATTTCGGGAAGTCATCGCGCATCCTTCATTTATATTCAATCATGTTTGGAAAGCATCGAATAGACAATGCGAATATTTTTTCTTCCGATCTGCATATTTATGTCATTGATGGAGCGCAGAAAACGCTATGTATTTATTTCAATCCAATTTTTTTCGATAAGCTCATTGTGTGTTCGGCAACGCAACCAAACAAAACTAATATGTTTACTGGAAACGAACGTAAGATTTTTTTTGCATAAAAAGGGCCTTTTTCTTCCTTATCAATATTAAAAGTTTTTCAAGGGAATACTTGAACCTTTTGTGAATGTCATTCTCAGTTGAATTGATGGACAATGTTCCAAAATAACTCACCTGAAGCAAAGTGTTTACATGGTCTGCTCTTAATCTCTGGCAAGCTTCATTCACCTCAAATTCTACGAACGTTTCTTCTTGGGTTACCTTCGCCAACGCAAAGTATCAATTTATTTATTTTTTGCGTTTTCTTCTCTAGTGCTCACTTAAGAGAGAAGTGGAGATATGGGTCAAATATGGATTCTAATTGGAAATGAAACGAGAGTTTTGAATCATTTCTACAGCTGCGTTCCCCGTTTTCTTTCGAGGAAATGATTTTTTCGCCCGTCTTGTTTCTTGCTCCACTGAAGGATAAATTCAAACAAACAAATACACAAAAACAATTATAATGATATCGAGCTAGCGATTTTACCTTCGAAAGTTCAATAATCTGCTCTTGTCCCGATGACACAACGAACATCGAACTGAATGAATGAATCAGCAAATTCATCGAATGAAACGTTGGTGAAAGAAATAACAAAGTCTGTATGTTTCATATGGATTTTCGAACGAGTCAAAAGCATCTAAAGTGAAGAGAAAAACGTCATTATTTTTTTTCCAGTATGCCGACGTCTATGCAATTAAATGATGACACCGAGAGTAGAACAGTTGGCAACTTGACATTTGGAAAATTGAATGTCGAGTGCGTGTGTGTGGGTATGTGCGTAGAAGTATAACCAAAGGCGCTTCGATTGAAATCGCTTTGTAATTTCATTTGTAATTGCCAGCATATGTGCATGTCTAGCCAAAGGCGTTTTTATGCTCTGCTACTTCTACCGATGCAATTTTGTCGCTGATTTGAGCATACAAAATGCTGTCAGTCGTTTCCTGCTTGTGAATTTTCATTTGCAAAGGCATGTCTGGAATTGCAATTTTAATACTTACATCGACTCTTCACACTTCTGACAAGTGCAAACTCTTCGATGGACGGGAACGAGGGGCGGTATATTATAAAGAGCGATAAAAGCAGCGATTTTCCATTTGCATGCGCGTTTCGGTTGATTGTCGTCATCGTCATCGTCATCGTCGTCGTCGTTGATTATATAGTACTTTGACCCGTTCACATCGCTATTTTTCAATAAAAATCAAAACGAACGCACTGAACGACAACATTCCAAACATCGTTTTACACTTTTATAGAAAACATTTGATTTTATTTCGTCGATTTAAATGTAACAATATTACTGTATGTATGTATATATATATAATATCATTTGTGTGTGTTGTGTGTGTGTTTTCTTTTGGGTGATTCCATTTCAATTTTAATATATAGTATTCAAATATCCTATTCATTCAATTTCATTTAAATGCCTCATGTAAATATTCTTTTTGTTGTTGTGGAATTTGCAATGAAATTGGTAAAAACAGTAAATTATACATAAAATCTAGAGTGTTTGGTATGTTTGTAGGCAAATGTTTGTACAGGTGACCAAAAACGAAGATGTTGTCGAAAAATGCATTGGGAAGAAACGGTATTGGACAATGAAGATTCCATTTGATGTTGAATATCGATTCAAATATGGTTTTGATGTTATTGAGAGTTGTTTCTTCCACTTCGATCTGACCTCTTTTTCTCTATATCCATGTCTGTCTCTGTCGATCGCTGTCAATTTTGTAGCCACACTGAATTGAGATTAACTCAACTGCAAGCATTAGCACAGAAAATACCAAACAAACTGTACAACTCTTGCTTTAACGTTTCCAAAAATGCACGTGATTTTGATTCAAAACGATTTCCATATAATTTAATTTGAACGAATAAACTCACGACTTTTCTTTTTACCTTCCTTTCTTTCTTTCTTCTTAAAAATAAAAATAATATAAATTTCTGTTTGTTTTCTTCTCATTAAACCTATTTTTGTATAATTTAAATTTACATCAATTAACCATTAGGGTGAATTAGTTGTAATATATTTGATTTTTGCATTTCAAAGACCCACTAAATTCTTAGATAAAATACGCAATTTTAACTATTTCACGAAGATAGACATTCGCATAGAAACTATTTGTGTGTGTGTGTGTTTGTTTGTTTGTGAGTTTTAAATGCGTCGTATGATAAATGCGTCATTTCATTGCATTCACTTCAAAATTACCTCACTTCAACACCCCGACGTATTGCATTTCACCAACAATAATAGTGATCCATCGAACGGCAAACATTCCATATTTTGTGACTAAAATTGTAATTTAAATGCCGTCCATCTCTCTCACTCTGGATTTATGAATGGGTTTGACGTTTTGACATACCAGTCAAAAGTGTGTCGAATATCGATTTTTGGACCGTGCAAAATGCGAAATACATATCACACTAGTAAAAAAGTCGATTTATCGATCAATATCATCCGAGCCATCAACATTCACACACTAGTTTTGCTATGCATTTTGCTCGAATACGTATAATTTCTCATCTTTTTTTGGGCTTTATGCCATATATTTATTATTGTTATTCTTTAATTTGGTTTTAACTACAATAAAACTTTTAAAATTCTATATATTCTTTTCGCTGGCATTGCAGCTAGAAATAAAACAGAACAATAGAGTTGTAAAATGTACAATGAATGCAGAGCATACCTGCATTCGGTGTGTTTGCATTAAAACCGTCTATCAATGGAAAGGGCTCCATTTGTTTTACTCTTTTCTTCTTTCTTACACACATCAAATGTAATAAACGTGATTTATGTAACCATCTAGATATATTTTAAAAGATTGCTCATGCTCATCCTCATACTCTTTCTCCTTTGTATTGAGAAACGACCGATTTTTAAGTTGCCGCATTGAAATTCAAAATTGCATTCATTCTGCGAATGTGAAATCCGTTTACGTCTCTCATCCTGCGAGAGAGTATTTGCACGAATATTTCCTCTCGAAGGGATTTCAAAACTTGAAAAAGTTTTCTCTCTCATCGAACTTGCCAAGTGTGTTCGCATTTTGTTCGTATGACTTTTCATAAATCTTCACCGATTCAAGTTTCAGGTTGCCGCACCTACGTACTATATTTGTAGCGAACGACGGCAGATGATGTGAAACTATGACAGGCGAGAATCTAGTTCAAGGAAAAAGTCTTGATGACTCTTCCTTTTTGTCACTACACTCGTCGCAATTCGCACAAAATGCGAATCAAAATTGTACTATAAACTTTGGAAAGTTGATTGATTGCACTCTTTTGAAGTTAAAGATTTGATTTATGTTCACGTACACGTATTTTCATTTCACTACCCTGTTCGCTTACAGTTAAAAACGTATAACACGCATTCCGATGCACTGTGTATGTGTGAGCGTGGCGTACGAGGGGCAAACCACTCAAAAGTAATACTGTGTATTAGTATTACTTTAAGTAATACTAATGTAAATATTACCTTGTATTACTTTAGTATTACTTTTTTCAAACAATAGTATTATTTTTTAAAGGAGTATTACTTTATCAAAAGTAATACCATTTTTACCTAGTATTACTTCGTATTAATTCGCAGGTATTATGTATTACTTCGTATTACTTCGCAGGTATTATGTATTACTTTTGAGTGGATTGCCCCTTGGTGGCGTAGCTGCAAACTATTGCACGCGCAATTCAAAATGCTTAGCCGTTAATATGTATTGTGTGTGTATATAGTATATCAAGAGTGCATTTGTTAAGTGCAACCAAATATATTCTCTATTTTCTTTCATATGACATTTTGCTTAATTGTTATGGTATCTTATTGTTTGCTGCTGCTTCTGAATGCAATGTATTCCTCTCATTTCATCCATTTGCCAGCGCGAACATGGACTATCTAATGACTTTGCCCCACTCTTACTTCACTTTCTTCGTCGAGCTTAGCATAATTTATATCCCTCTATATACTCAATTTATCTTTAGCTACATTCTAAATTCTTACTCCATATATAATTTACAAGAAGTTTCACTAATTGTTTTTTTTTTATTCTCAAGTTAAACCTAATTTTACGCAAAAGTCTTTCGAAACTATTCCCAAAAAATGTACACGGTGTCACTTAAGATTATTGAAATATTCGACAATTTTATATATTTTTTTCATCAATTTTTTTTCTTTCTCTTTTTTCCTTGTCTTACAGATTAATCCGCTTCTATTTCCAAAATGAATTAAATCGCATCAGACGTAGAACACCATCAATCATCAGAGTCAAACGAATGTCCAAACTTAATAAAATCAACCTCAGAAAGCAACCAGTGAGTCCTATTTTGTGTTTATGTTTTTTGGTTTGGAAAATGACGGCCGAAATGATAAATTTACAAAAATACTAAGTCATCGAAATGCAGATAGTTTTTCTGCAAGATGATTTGATTCTAGAAACAGTAGGTGCGACTGGGTGGACACAAGACAACGGTATTTTTGTTGCTATGCTCATCGACGGACGATGATGCAGACGATGACGGTGGATTTTTCGGTTTTTTTGTCAGCGTCGATGTCGGCGATGATGTCGATAATGAAAGTGTTGGAGTGCCAGTCCGTTCGATATTTTGCATAGCTATTGTGTTACTGTTCTTCGGCGATGTGGTTGTGGTGGTGTTGTTGGTGATGATGCCAGCCATGATAGTGTCGGTTGTTGAAGGTGATGCTAACATTTTGTTATTCAACATGGGTCATCCGTAGTAGAATTGTGGTTCAATGTCAATTTTCGATAGGATACGTGGTGGCACTGAATCATATTCGACACGCGGACGCCTTAATGTGCCTAATGTACCACCGGCGGCTAATATTGATGGATTCATAAAGCCGACTGTTGGTGGTGGTGGATAATTTGTTCCGAATCTCGAACCTATACGTGCGTACACAAAATAGAATTCCAACATTAACGAAAAGAAGAGAGAAAACAACAACAAAAACAATAGCATAATAAAACGAGAAATCAAACAATTTTTTTCCTCTTTAATCAATGGAAATAGAGTGCTGTCTGTAGCTTTGTTTGAACACCCCAAAGATGAAAAAAAGCAAAGCAAAGCAACAACAAACAGTCTGTTTTCAAAATAGGTTCGCAAATAAAACAGATTGAATTTGATCTTCAGATAATATGGTGACATTTATAAACTGGGTTGTTGTTTTTTTTTCTCGGTGACATGTGCAAACGTGTGGCTCCGATCACATTTATTTATCACTCTGTGTTTTTGTGTGTGTCTCTCTCTCTCTCTTGGAAATATCTGCCGTGTTTTATTTTCTGTGGGCATTTCACGAGAATGAAAAAAAACGAACACCGGTGCAGAGTGAGTAATAAATAGATGTGATGCTCAGAACAACAGATCAGAAAAGGAATCATCTCTTAGTTACCCATTTGTGTGACTGATGGTGGCGGATACATCAAAGGATTGGCTGATCCGATTATCGATGGCACATGATGGCCGGTGCTCAAAATCGAACTAGTTGGCACCAACATTGTAGTTGACGTGTGTGATATGTTTGAGGGGCCGAGATTCCCGTACGGGCTTGGTGACGGTGCATACGATCCATAGTTTGGCTAGAGTAGCGGACGCGAGAAGGAAATGAAAACAAATCAATACAAAATGTTTTTATTTATTTAGTGACTGACTGACTGAATCAATGGTTAACTTTATTAAATGAATGCCAATCAAATGTCGAACAAAATAAAACCAAAATGAAAAAAAATATTTCAATTCAATTCTCTCTCATTCGAATCGGATAGGAAGCGTACAAAAAAGGGCCTACTACTGAAGTTTATGAATAAATTGACATTTTTCCATTGGGATTCCTGGTGCTAACGATACAAATTTTCACGGGAATGCCTTAGATATCAATGAAAATTCCTTCTCATTTTGATTGACAATTGAAACCAACGAAGAAATAACATTTTCATTTGATTTCGTGGTGCAACGGACAACAAAACAAGTTCCATATCAATAAAGTTTGATTTCTGTCTCTCTGGAATGTGTTGACACGATTCGTACTTTTTATAATAAACAAAGCGCTTGATTTTAATTCAAACTGAAAATGTGAAAATCTATCAAATCAATGCGGACTTATGTGTGTGGTGGAAAACAATAGCATGAAACACGAGCTCGACTCCAAAAATAACAAAACGTGGCATCGGAAATGATCGAACGTTGCTCGTGCAAAGCGCGTTTCAAGGGTTTCATTATACATATTTTTTCATTCAAATATTTTGTCTCCATTTTTTTTTCTACGATTTTTTATGCATTGTATCATATTGAAATGAGGACAATCGGTGAACCGAACAAAAAATAACCGAACCATGTTCATAATAATGGGTGCGCATGTTTTGAATGTCACGAAGGTAAAAAATGGATCGAAGACGGGAGAGCAAGTGCGAGAGAGAAAGCAAAAAATGGAGATAGAGAGAAAAATGAGAGAAACAAAACGAACGAACGAGATACGAGAAGCTGAAGGGAGAAAAAAAAGTCAAATCGAACGGAACGCGACAAGAAATATTTGAAAAGGCATAAAAATGAAAACACATCAAATAATTCGCTAAAGGGTGGCTTACGAGATGATAAGAAATGGATGTCACAAACAGGATTCGCGTCATGCGGTACTCATATTTTGTTTTGTTTTGGTATTTTTTTCTGTTGTCATTCTCCTTCGCTTGCGTTTTGTACGGTGATTTTGTGATATTCTCTGAAATCGGTTCGGTTCGATATTATGAGCATAAGATGTCTGCATACGCATTGTAATGTATGGAGACAGATCAATGATAACATTCAAACCCAATGAAATGTGTTATTTTTTCGTGTGTGCGAGTCGGAATTTGTATTGAATTTATGCAGAAAAGGAAAGAATCGAATCCCTTGCGGTGTATTCAAATTTTGGACGAGTAAAATTCCAAATGAGCAGACACACACATTTTAAGCTCAACTAGTCCATCCAAACATGTTTTTTTCGTCGTATTTGTTGTTGTTGGTGGTGGCAAAAATCGATTATGACATTTTCAAAAGCCAAACGATTTTTGTCAATTCAAGGCAATCTTTTATGGAGTTTAGCACACTTTGCGTGTGGCATTCATTTGCGTTTCGGGTTTATTGACTTTATTATATGCAGAGAGATAATCAAGCGGTTTTCCGGTATTGTGAAAATGAAGTAACGGGAAGTAAAACCAATTTAAATGTCGTTTTTTTTTTCGATGCATAAATTGGAGAGCGACAGATAGCGGAGAACAGTGAGTTAGTTGTGCATAAAATATCATAAGGCCTTATCAGTGCTTTTGATACAAAATCGATGGAGTTCAGAGAAGAAAGCGTCTCTCGCCACACATAATGGCTGCAGCTCATCACAAAAACATATCCACATTTTTATATCAACTTGATAAGACGCGAAAAAAAATATGAGACATATTCAGTGAGATTAAATGTGAATTAACATCATCTGATAGGACTTTTTTATATGGTATTTTTATGACGAATATTTCACACGGTTTGGCATTTAATTAAACCTCGATGCTCGTGTTGCAGTGAGCACACGAAAATCGATTGGCGTCAGGCAGTGCACAAAAAAAGACTCAAGGGGAAAAATGACGTCGGACTTACCTCGTTGCGTGACACACTCGGCACAGGAAGTGTTGTTGTTTTCATGTCGATATCACCATCAATTTCAGATATATCGTCGGAAAATCCATTTGGTATGGTGGTTTCACCGTTGTTACCGTTCTGCGATTGATTTTTCGGCGATGATTTTTTATCGGATTTCACTTGTCGCTTTTGCAATACCAAACGTCCAATCACAAGCGTTAAACACAGTAACACACCAACTGTTACCGATATAAACAGATACAGGAAGAACTTTTCTTGGTTTTCTGCAAAAATTGAAGAACGAAAACAAAGAGAGAAGAAATTATTATAATCATTATTATCAACGTTCTGCAATTCAATCGTGTTACAACCTTTGCATAAATCGGTTCAGGGTCATTGGAAAAAATGAGGACGTCGCAATGTAAAGTGACAAACACGACTCAAGCGCATAATAAAATTGAAGAAAATCGATTGAAAAAAAACTTGACATCAAAAAACTAGAATTCTTTTATTCCATCAGTTGGAACAAATAAACCACACTATCTCGATTCTAATTCCTATGTAACTACATAAAATCTGTCAAAATTCCTAAACAAATCTCTTATTTCAGCCATTTTCCAGGCTAAACCAATCCATTGTTCCAGGGTTTGCTCAAATAAATCCGGCCCTAATTCTCACCGTATTTTCTCAAAAATCGACTGAATCTCATGTGATAGTTGCACATGATTTTCTTCAGTGCTGCATTGTTGTGCTCATTTGTTGTCAAAATCATTGAAAGTTTCACTGTGAAACCATGTACGAATCACTTACGTTCTAAATAAACAAGCGTTTGATTCCATTGTACGCGAAATTGTGCGAAACGCTCGCGGAAATCCTCGATAAGTGTGTTTTGTTTAATTGGATACTTAGATGTGGAGGCAGGCATGAATATACTGCTACTATTCGATCGATTGTTGTTATTGCTATAACCGAACTGTGACGTTGTAACGCCGGTACCACCACTACCACCACCAGCATCAGCACCATCAGCATCAACGAAGTTACTATCACGATTTGGATTGTTTTGATTGATTGAGTGACCTATCGTTTCAATATCCGGTGTTGTGGTCGCATTTTGTGTCATGGTTGTTGTTGTTCGGTATAACATATGATCATGATCGTGTTTTGGTTGTGTGTTTGAATTAGCGAAAGGCACTGCGGAAACAATAATGTGGGATTTGGGTTAAATAAAGAGTTTGGTTTCATTTTCATTCGGATGCATTGTGTGCTCCTGTGATTTTTCGTGAGAATCGATTTGGTTAGAACGTACAAAGCGTTTTTGTGTGTGTTCCGAATAGAAAGTGAATTTAAAAAAGATTTTGACAGGTTAGTAAAAGCAGAGGAAAAAAAGAAAAGAGAAATAGGTTTTTCCCGTGTGATAGAGGGAATAAAAGTGTGGTTTGGTGCATTGAATTCTATTGCGTATTGTGAAATTGTCGTGAGTTATTTTGCTGTGCTGTTAAGCATTGGAGTGTGTGTGGTGGTTTCGAAAGAGAAATTGAGCACAAAACGAAAGCGGATATATCTGGTTTGATAGCTGAAAACACGCACACATATAGATTACACTAGCAGCAGCACGCTATCGCCCTCGAAACGCTTGGCTAATGAAGTGACAAAATCCCCAACGGAGAAGCACACATGTTAATACCAATTAAACATGCATTCAAATCATGTTTACATCCCGTTAATGTTTCGCTCCTCATTTCAATGCCAGTGTTTTAAATGTTGCTTAACTTAATGATACGAATTAATTCTTCATTCGACCCAACACAAAATATACAATCAATATCTTCCTTCGATGTGACTGATGTATGTGTATGTGTATGCTCGAAAACGGTGAACAATAATAACTGATAATGATATTTGCATGTGTTTTTGGTGTGTGAGCGAGCGGGCACGCTCGTGCGGTTCGTAATAAATATTCTAGTAGACTTCTGTTATCAAATGCATTGACCGAAACGTTGTAAAATGAATTGCATCGAAGTGGATGTAGTGAGCGCTTGCTCTAAGGTAACATGGAGTTAGAATACATATACGAACAATTGCAACCGAATGGTGATTGCAATCAAAGCTCAAGTGGAAATGCATTTGAAAGCTTGTCATAATTTTCTATAGAGAATCCTTAGCATTTATTATGATTGTTGTACACAATCTAGTAAAATTCAATGCCGCACACAGCCACTGACGCTCACTCCGGAAACCAGTGAGCTATTATGCTCTTGCTGCCACTGTTGGACGAAATATGCGAATGGATTTGGCACGGCGACGATATGTCATTGTGTCAACGATGTTTGCAATTCCGCAAATAATTCTCGAACTTGTTCCCGTTTTCCTCTTCCGTGTGAGAGAGTGCATTTGCTAAATGTTCAAATCTGGATAGTGAGCGTGACATCAAAAAGGAGAAACTACACTCGAATGTGTCCATTGTGTGCATGTGCATTGTGCATACGTGAATGTGTATGTGTGCTGAATGCATTTCTACGATGGCGATTTTCATTAGTCGCATTCCAACCAACAAACACTAATATTGCTTCCTCTATGGTGAGGAATCATCGTTTCAACTGGTCACGAATTTTGCTTTGTGAGTACCTCGCTCGCCTGCTGTTCGCGTGCAATTGCATTTTAAAGGGTTTTAGTGTAACACTCCATTAGGGGTTTTCAATTACTGGACGAGTGAAAGAGATATCGTCACACATGAGCCAAACTGTACACGGTTTTGTGTGTACAAGGAGCACTACAAGTGGAATAACATGGAATGGAAAAGCATCGCACATTGAACAATGACCATGGTCATGGTGTTTGCCATATTCCGCACATTTTGCACGCCAAACCGTTGCTCTATAGATCCGGGGATAGCACATACGCATCAGTAGCAGCCGAACGCTGAACGATATTATTCTATGTCGGAAATGCATGGTCGATACCAATTTGGACACATGACCGCTTATGAATTTTCTCAACTGAATAAACTTATTTCATGCCATTATGTGGGAAGTTATACTTTGGCCAGGATTACAATAATGTCGCCTAATATACAATCATGAAATATCGCCCAAACATTTATCGCAGTGTCTCTCTCTCTCTCTCGCTCTCGGTCTTTCCAGCTCACTCATTTGCTTGGTGGGCTCGGGCCACACACGAAAATCACATACACAAATGGCATTCTTTGCTCTGACAATGTGGAAAAAATAACCATTTTGATTGTGTCAGTGGAGCGCATGGCTCCGAAGAAATTGGTTTGCGAATATGATTCAAGTATTTATGCCGCTATTTTTGAATCATAAGAGAACATGTGTATGGCCGTGTACGCTCTATTCGCAAACTAGCATCTTTGAAATAGGTGAATATTTAAATGGTAAGTCATATTCACAAATACCTGCGCATATAATCCTCACAAACACACGAACATGTGACAGGCAATGTATTTATATGCACACCGCACACCGCACACAACGAAATAGATCCCATTTTACTACGTATTTCATGCGAAGCGAGAATCAAGAGCGGTTATGTATAGATCATACTGTGATATGCTTATTAACCAATCTGCTCAGCATGATGCATTCAAATTTCACTGTCATTTGATATCGCTTCACACGTATCGATTCACATCACCGATTTTGATTAAGCGTTTTTATCATTATACTGATTCAGCCAACTGAATCATATGTTCCATGCATTTATTATTTATTCAAATAGTGTTCGTGCCGTGTTTTCATGTGAAAATTGATTTAGGCAATATATGAATACACAGGAAATGCTACGAACGCTGCATTACAAAACCGATTTAATTTTTGATGTAAATGCGAAGTGCATTATGCTTGTTGATGTCTTAAATGGCACATCTTTTACTATCCCCTGAATTTTGTGTGTATAAGATTTTATTTTTACCTCCCAACCTGAGCCAACCTGTAGTGGATTTAATGTAGAGCGGTAACAATATCAATTCCGAAAAAAATGAGAGATTGCATTGATTTGCCCATAAAATTGAACATTTAATTTGTTTTTGGTCTTAGCTGCCACCCGATGCGATTAAATTTTAGAAGGTAAGTCCAATAAAGTGGTTAATTCCTTTATTAATAATTCTGACTGCCATGAAAAAAAAACATGGATTCAATGCAGTGTTTCAAAAATCGTTTTCCGAAACCGTTTTTCTGCTACATATTAATTTTGCATATTTACTAACTGTGCTCGAAATTCAAAATTTAATATTTACACATTCTGTTTGATGTCGACTGCATTCAATGTTAACTTCACTCAACTCATTCTGTTTCGACGGACATAAATGCAATTACAATTAATTCAATAATGGTTTCCTCCTGGTTCATAAAAAATGAAAATCTGCACAATTTTGAAATTGCGAAAAAATGGCGTATGGTGTACCCACAAAAAGCATGTTGCTTTCTGTAAAAATGAATTTTATATAGGTGCATAGCCTGGGGATAATTATACCAAATTATCCGGACGATGCTAATTAGAGCATTATTATTTTTTTCTCTCCCTCTTTCTCTCTCTCTCTCGTTCCATTACAAAAGCACTTGAAGAAAAACTACATTAAAAACACAATTCCTGTTGCCGTTTTCAATTTGTAATGAAGTACTTGTTTAATTTATAATATTTTTTTGTGTTCGGTTTCGGTTGGTATGCATATGGATTTTTCTATATTTGCCCGTGTATATTTCACCGATATCCCATTGTGCAGTTGTTAAATTACACATTGTTGGTTTTCATTTTTTGTATGTGTTGCCATTCACATTTAGTTTCATTAAAAATGCAATCCATTTCAATGCACACAGCCAGAGCCTCTGTTACAGAGGAGGAAAAAATACAATTTTTTAAATCACTTTTTAAGTGAAACCAAAATAACAGAAATGTTAACTATTTACATATGTTACAGTTGCCGCGGCGTTCGATTTTTTCGCCTGCCATTGTTGGCTGAATTTTTATTTACTGGCCACATTATTTAAAAGGTCACGAATTGAATTTCGTCATTTATATTATTTTTAATTGCATAAAATATTACAAATTGCTAGGCCATTCACCATGTCATGTTTTCAACGAAATGATTCATATTTTTTTTCCAGAAAAAGACCAAGCAATTATTTGCTTCCACAATTTTCCGCGAACGATACAATTTTGATTGATCGATCGATTTAATACCGTAACATACCGTTGAAGTTCGACCAGAAAAAAAGTTGCGTATTGAAATTCATGACCCAGTTTTCCATGTGAAATAAAACTTTCTGGAGTTTTCATTGAACGTTCACTCTCAATTGAACGCCGTCTGTTTTCATTACAGAAAAAAAAAATCATCGATTCAGAGCAACGGACAAAGGTTAAAATTAAAGTAATGCCTTGACCGAGATTATTTACAATCTATATTACACATTGTTCTTGCAAACACCCATTATTCGTTAGCCTATCAAAAAGCTTGACAACATCAATTGTGAGAAAATAGTGGTGAGAGAGAGAAAACAAAAGTGACTCATACCTTCAAGTTGGTTGCTATCTCTTGAACGCAATGGAGGGTTTACACTGGACGATGGTTCGCTAAGTGAAGTCGGCATATCTGAAGTGGCCAATTCACGGTGCAGTTTCGGAGCTGGTGGAATTGCTTCGGATTCGCGAAAAAATTGATCTTCATCGTATAAATCGTCTTGGTCTTGATCCATGTCGATTTGCTGCGGTTCATCCGGCTCGATTGATGCATCAAATTGGTCTTTTAACACTTTTCGCGGTACTGAAATAGAAGAGAAAAAACCATTACACATCAGTTTTCAATCCTAGCAGATTCATTTTTTTTTTCATCAATACTTACTGCACGTGTAGACCACTTTTAAGTAAACCCTTGATTCGGGTCGGCATGGATTGCCAAAATTGGCTCGATCCGCCGATATGGTGCATCGTCGTCGTCCATGGCACAATTGCATCACCGTTTCCGTTCCATACGATGCCAAACAAGCTGCAATTAATTTTACAAAAGAAATGTGAAAACGAGTTTTTGAATGAAAAGGCGCAAATGAATTTAAACAATCGACGACTAATCGCTTTTGAAAAGGCGGAAAATTCTTTGCACTTTAACGACGTATGTATGGCCTGTAAATAAAACAATCCAATTAAGTGAGACAAGAGAAGCAAAAAGCAACAACAGAAACAAAAATGCTGAGCAAATAAAAAAAATGCGATTGAAAAACCTCTTTCATGTGCTGGTTCGCTTCATCAGGTGGCAAAGTGGTAACAAAGACAAAAAGAAATAACACATACGAACATCGATATCAACGGAAATTTATTGATCGAATGAACGACGGATGAAAACATGAAAGAGGAATAAGTGTTACACTTCTTTTTGATACGAATACTCCAATGCTGCTGTGTTGTTTGAGCCGACAACGATAGCAGAAAAAAAATGAGCCAAACCAGTGAAGGAAGAAGAAAGCGCAATTGAGTTTTATATGAAAAAGCAATTTTGTTCGGTTGCACACACGTGAACCATGCACAAAGCACAATCACATCAAGTAGAATTCAATTGGCTTCAATTGTTTAGTTCGCTTTTTCTTGTGTGCTTGCACTCGTTTCAAATGGTTGTTCGATGTGTGCGTGTGCGCGCATTCTGTAATTTGTTTTTCGCTGTTTTTCTCCCTGCTTGAACATTTCTTTTTTTTCCTCCTTTGGTCTCGAGTCTCGAGAGAAAATCCTAGTTGCGAATTCAATGATCAGCCAAACAATCAACGGGCAAAAATAGAGAGCGAGAGAGAGAAAAGAAAACAAGGAAAATCTTTCAATTAACACTGCAACTGCTCCACAAATCTACCAATTTCTGGTGAAATGTGCAGTGTGTTTGCGTTACTTGTGTGCTGTCTGCTGTGAGCGAAAAGAGCGAACCCAAAACATCCCAAACAAACAAACAAAACGAACACTGAAGTAACGATAATGGAACAAGTAAACGACGGAAGCTCGAATACCGACCGTGAAAGAGGGAGAAAGACTAAATTTATTTTTCTCGGAGAATAAAATTCCAGTGGATTTTGTTTTTGCTCACTTTTCCGCCACTTGGTATTCGTTCTTTACAATCTCTTGTCATTGTTGCGTGTGCTGTTCTGTGTGTGTGTGCGCGCGCTACTGGTGAATATACATTTTTTGTTATTTATCTTTCGGCTTGACACAACTGTATCGTATCTTTCTGCTGTAATTTTGTGCGCTGCACATCTTCATTCGGGATGTAAACCAATAAAGATCTACTGTTTGCTTGGAGAAAATAAAAATCAAAATCCCAACGAGAGAGCAAGTATCGAAATAAATGTGTTTAATAAAAAAAATGGAAAATGATAGCGAACATTGATATATAGAAACAAAGGAGTAAAACCCATGCAATTTCAGTTCATTCATTCATCACTTCGAGAGTGAAAGAAGCGCGCAGATAAAAGGAAATAGAGACGACGAAAGAAAGAATAGAAAAAAATGACAAAAACTGGTGAAGTGTGTGTGATTTTTGGGTCCCACAGTGGAATGTATCCCAATGAAAATGTGAAGGTGACAATTTTGAAATGGGTAACGAAACATCATGATGATAACGAAAATATCAAAGACCGGAAAATGAGCAGCAACAAATCACATCAACAAAAGAAACAGCGAGAAATTGTGCTTTGAAAAAGCGTGCAACAATTCACTTGTATTCAGTCACATTTGTCCAGTTGTGCTGCTGCCACCATTGCATTTCTCTTCATTCGCCAAACACAAAAGTTACAAAGATGTTTATGTCGTTGTCTTGTTGGCTCTCGCAGGCAACGACCAAATTGTTTTCTATTTATATTTATGACATTTGTTGTTTGTCGTATACTTGAAATGCAGTCCACTTCAATATCGAAATCGTCATTCGTTCCATGGCCAAACGTTGTTGCACGCACACAGCGACTTATAATCAACGAATGAGTAGTTTTATGGCGACGCTGCACGCTGCACAGTAAAACGAGTTCTGTTTGCATTGTGCATCAGACGCATGCACTTGGTTTCCATAAAACCGCTCATTTTTACTACAATTCTTTTGATTCGCTTTTTTTCCGCCGACTGGTTTTGTTTCTCTAACAAAGTTCCACATCAATGCCCAGCTAGCACAATTCTACCTAGCGTATTCTTATGCAATTCCAGAACAGAATAAGCTATTCTTATCGTATTCTATAAAAACTCTATAAGAACAGGGTAAGGCATAAAGGGCCCCATTTTTATTCCGATATGTACGTGTAGGATGTTCTTATTGTACTCTATAAGTACACTATAAGTATAATTTAAGGCTCCACTAAGAACATCAGCAACCGCCGGAAAAAAAATGAAAAATATTTTCGCCTTCCACATTTCGTTTGCCATTATTCTTTTTACTTTCTTTTCTTTTCATTTTTTCTCCATTGTTATTTTCATTATTTTACAAGTTGTAGATTATTTCAATTTTGTTTTCATGTTCATTTAATTTTTTTTAATAATTTTTATTTTATCCGTTGAGTTTCGAACCTTGGTTCTCTCGATCTCAATGCCTTCCACTTGAACATCTCGCCCATACGCACATGTTGCCTATAATGTTAGTCAGTGCATATATAAAGTGTTGTGTTCCACAGAATAAGCAAAGAATACATCTATACTTAACCCTCTAATGCATACAACCGCCTCCAGACGGGCAACATTTGAACGCCTGTAGAACGTAAACCGTACATCGGATCACATCGCTTCAAAAAGAATTTTTATTCGTCAATGTTCTCTCTTTATTTTTGTCTTTGGCAATATTTGTCTATGTAGTCTAATTGTAAAGGTATAAACAAAAATGTGTGCAAAAACAAAAATTTGACAAAATAAATTATTTGAACTCTAAATTAAACACATTTTTGACACTTTTAAACAATGGATTTGATTGTTCTCTGATTTATGTCAATCGCATTTTCTGACTTAACCATGAGGAATCCAGGATTATGAATATTTTTTTAATTATCTATGGCCAAAAATCAACCAAGTACCAGTACTCCCAGCCCTGGGAAAAATTAATGCATTAGAGGGATAACTTATTCAAAACGTGCTTATGTTAAGAACAGTGTATTTTAAGAACATTTTGAGAATATTTTAAGAACATTGAAAATGAAAACCGTAAGATGTTAAGAAAAAGCACCGAAAATAGCCTCTATTCTTTGCATATACTTATATTTGAATACAGTAAGAACATTACAGATACACTAAGAATAAAAATCGAATAAGGTTTAAGCTAAGTACACGCTAGGAATAGTTTTGCTAGCTGGGTGGCACATCTCGTAGATGATTTTATTTAGATACACGTTTGAGTTTTTCTACTTCTTTGGACGGTTGTTCATGTTTTGTAGTGCTTTTGTTCAAGCAGAAGCTGAATGCAGTGTTGTTGTTGTTACATTTTTTTTCTGCGTTCGTTCAGCAACTTCGCTCCCGTTTGTCTATTTCACTTGTATTTATTCGTTTCTCTTGATACAATTTCCAGCCGTTGGGGTTTTTTGTTTCGTCATCCATTGCACTTTTTCCTCTTCTTCTTCTTCTTCTTCTTCTTCTTTCGTTTTTCATCGCAATTGTTCAGTTTTGCACTTGTTTCGCGTAATATTTTCGCTTGGGCCAGTTGATGCCATTTTCATTCGTGCTTCACACTGCCCCTCTATGTGTCTCTCCCTCATACTTTTTTTTCCCAGGCACCGACCACTAAACAAAGTGCAAACTTTTCTTGTGCTTGCTTCGTGTTGTGTGTGTGTGTGCTTTTTTTTGTTTTTCCGTACCCATCCGTACGTTATTCCATTTCATTGCTTTACATTCAGGGAATAAAGATTAACTTTGTGCTGTTCTTTCAAATATCCTAATGAAGTTGTGCGTTGCTATTGTGTTTCACTGCTTGCAACGCTTGTTCTTCAATGTTTTTCCATCGTTTGTTCGTCTTTTTTTTCTACTTTGTTCTTTTGCCCGGTTTTCATTATCATTAAATTCTTATCGAGTGCTTTTTTCAACTGTGCTTCGATTTCGTGTGCATTTTTTTTCTTCATTTTTCTGTGTTTTTTTTTCTTCGAATGCGCGAACAAAGAGAGAAAGATAGCACGAATAAAAAAGCGAAATTTTGCACCAATGCAAAAGTTTGAAATCAACCGGAGGGAACCGTAACGAATGTGGCCATAAATGTTAAATAAAGATGTAAGCAGATGGCTGACCGTTCGTTCGCGTCAAATTAGAGATGAGTGGATTTTAAACAAAATGTGAACTGAACAAAAAAAATGGAATGGCGAACGGAACAAAGTATCAACGCTACTGAAGCTTTTTTGTGTCAACTGTGCGCCCGAGGCGATGTAACTTACATTTGAAAGTAGAAAATGTTTTTATAAATCAAAAGTGCAGTTTTGCCTGGAACATATGACGTTAATTAAGACGTTTTAATGTTCAAGTTTTTAAGTGAAGACTTAAACTTTACACTTTTCCATCGTCGGAAAGTTCTATTTGTGCGTTGCGCGCAAACGATGAATTTGATCGAAATGACCTGCGATGCAGTCGCATCTATTACAAGGATTATTGGAACGCGAATTATGTGCCAGATCAAATACATTCACTCGTTCGCAATTCGATAAGATCAAGTATGGTGAAACTTTGTTGAATTTTGTCGGCAGTAAAAGGCAAACAATTTCCGTACTTACAACATGAGTTGGGTGCAATAAGATGGCTTGGATGGAACATTGTGTGTTTCCCTGTGTTCATGTGTTCATGTCGTCGCTGTTTTATTACGTTTTTTGGCCATTTCACGTGGACTTTGTTTTTACTCGACATTTTTTTCCCTCGGTGTGTCTCAACATATCCGTATGTGGATTTTATTGCGGATTCAACTATTTGCAATTCTCTGAGCAAATTGTTCATTTCTGCAACATTTTACACGACGAGACGAGCACGAGAAAGAGTGCATCAGCACATAGGCGACATTTGTTGACAATAAAAGTTACAATGGAAACAGAACGATTTTACTGTTCGTTGTTCTGTTCTGTTCTGCATAAGTATTTGACCCGATTCGGTGCATTTTGATTGCCCTCGAAAAAACGGACCATTTGGGTAATGGAATTGCTGTTGCTGAAATTTTTATCAAAAAAAATGCAGCGCTTCAGCATACGCATCTATGCAAATAAGACGATGGAGAAGAAGAAAAACAGACGAAAAAGGAAATCAACAAATAAAATTGACAAAGTTGAGATACCTAATGTGATTTTCTTGGCAAGAAAACAACCCCCGACTCCCGACAACACACTCTCACATGTACACGCAACAACAATTTTTGAAAAAACAGCCTTTGCAGTACCGTATTTTTATTGGCATTTCCGAGAATGAATCATACGTGAAATATTCATACGGAACACACACACACACACACACATCCCAAACGAACCTCTAATGAGTAAGATGTACGAAACGGGAAAAAGCAACGCGAAAACAAAATGTAAAGCAGCAAAACTTTGGAAAAAGAATAAAAAAAAACAGGAAGTTATAAACAGCACATCCTCAGCATAATTTATGTGAATGTATGCAAAATGAAAGAAAAATAAGTGTTTGCTTTCCAATATATTTATGATAAATAAATAAAGTGAGTACGTAAATGACGATAAAAATTCCATGAATTTTCTGCACGAACATTTTTCCTCAAGCGAAAAATTCATTTCGAAAGTGTCGATGGTATCGCTTCGGTGATTCCAATGGAGTGAACTTTTTGCAGAGAGTAAGAGAGAGAGAGTAACAGAGAAAAAAGAACTATGTCATGTTTAGAAAGTTAAAAGAGCTTGTGAAAAAAAGATGCGATAACAGTGTGCAGTTTCTGTTAATTTCGCAGTATGAAGAGATGAGTTTCATTGGTTGTTTATGGCTCATATCCTCCGGCAAATGACGTCTTCCAACGAAAAAAGAAGAAGATGATGATGAAGAAAAAACACTGAATTTTTCTTGCGAATTTGCTTTGCCGAGAGATATAACAGCAGAACATTTTCGTTTCGGAGATTCGCGAAAATCCTTCCGTCTGTCGGGAACAGAGTGGGAAAAAAGGTACCAAAATAAACATAAACTTCGGACTCTTTCACTTTTGAATATTGGTCGTGATGATCCGAGTGAGTGGTGAACGGGAGAGAGAGTGAGACACTGAGCCACGAACATGTCGAAAATAAAATGAATAATAAAGTTGAACATAATTAATAAAACATAGTCACTTGCAGATTTGCACACAGGTACCGTCAAAACGGAACGGGAAGGTCGTTGAATATTTATCGTTTGTCTTGTGCATCTCCTGTTTATGCGCACGATCTTTTAAACATTCATTGGTTTGGCATGCGACTTGTTTTTATTTTCTTCGTCTTTCGCTTTCTCTCTAACTCTCTCTTGCAGTCTGTCTCTCTCTCTCTCTCTCTCGTACCTACTTGGTTCGTAATATTATTATTTTTAAATACATAATTCAATTTGATGTTAATTTAGCGTCGAATAATTTGCACCGTTGTTGTTTTTGTTTGGTTTTGGGTTGTTGGTGTTTCTAACACCATTTTTTCATCAGCACCACGAATTACATTTCATTTTCACATGCACTTTATCAAGCCCGAAGATGTGGAAAAAAGTCGCGAAAATCTTATGAATATTTGATTGTTGCTCGCATCATAATAACTTCAGAGCGTGTTGTACGTAAATGAATGCGCACATGCAGAATCAGTTCGGCGATACGGTAACTTTTCGTTTCTTCTCTTGTATCCTCTTCTTTTCTCGCAGATAATTAATGCAAATTAATTAGTACCTTGCGCGGCTCCCACTCGCACTTTGTTACAAAAGTATTGTATCAAAAGTTGTTCTCAGCCCATGGCCTGAACACTGTTTTGCATTGGATGAAGAAAATATTTGTGTTTTCCTTTTTTGCGTGGCCCAAATGAAAATAATGGAAAAGAGCAGCATTTGAGTTAATTTTTTTATTTCACTCGCACCAACCATCATTAGCTGCTGAATAACATCATCAGATCTTTTCATTAGGTTTAGCAGTCGCAATTACAGAAATTGCTGAAAACAAGTCGTCAAACCCAAATGGAAGCAGACGTCATGTTTACAAATCCATCAACATATGACGGTTCAACGAATTGTATTTATTTGATTTGGATGTGATTCAGCGATGCAAATCTAAGCGATAATAAAACGCAGACACGTTTGAAACTAATCAAAAATCCATTTATTATTATTACTGTTGCTTTAGTGATTAAAACCCGTTTCAAGTTCTCCTTCTCGTGGATATCGGCGTACAATTGTGGCGAAGGCAAAAGAAGTTGTGCTTGATACGGGTTCTCACGATGCATTCTAGCCATGAGATAGAGTAAGAGTATACAGACACGCCGGTCTCAGAAACAAATACGAGTGAGGTAGAGAGAGATAGCGAGAGAAGAGGCAAGGGAGGAGAGAGAGAGATAAAAAGATCGAGTGAGCGGCAAACCTTAATCCAATCCAAATTAAATGTAAAATGCTTTCGAGTATAATGAAGACTCACAGCTTATTAAAAGCTCACTGGAGGAAAACCGCACACTTAAACCATTCAATTGAAGACCATAATTCTTAGCCAACGGGAGAAAAATGCATGCTCGACATAGCATTTTCATGCATGCGAACACCAAATAGTGTGTGTGGTTAGAGCAGACACACACATAAATACATACGTGTACGCACAAGAGCACATTCGTACATATAATGGCAAAACCACCGGCTACGTCGTTTACAACGATAGAGTACTGTAAACCCGTACAATGCTTAAAACGATATATGTGCAAAAGAGAGCAGAGTTCTGCTCCAAGAGTTCTGAACGAAGAAAAAAGCAATCGAAGAGAGAATCGTCGTCAGCGAGATTGAAATGAAATGAAATACAAAACCATGTTTTAACAATTTGTTCGTTTTAAGTATTTTTCATTTAAAATTGCGGCGCATTATTTGCAGACGTCTGTCGGCTGGTGTTAAGAGCTTCGAGACAACAAAAGCATGAGATGCATGTGAGAGAGAGAGAGAGAGAGAGAGAGAGAAAGAAAGAGAGCGGAAAAGAGCAGCACGGGACTGAGCACAGCAGTCTTGCTTCAATATGCACCACTCTCTTTTTCCTCCTCTTCCTGTTTCTTTCGCTTTCAATTCACTCGCAATGTACAGTGTACACAGTACTTTCGTGAATGTGTTTTTTTTCTTGCATAATAAACCTATACTAAAAAGTGATCGAGCATTGAGAACGCCCCATGCACCCGGCGCCGACAATCATCAACAGAGAATTTCGTCCACGACTGATTCAAGCAAATTTTCAAGCAAAACATACGAAGTGGAATATTCTCTATATGGTTGTGATGGAGAGTGAAAAAGAATTAGCGTGTTGAAAATGCTCACATGACATTGGTTTTTCCATGTGGAATAAGGATTCGTTCCATTTGCCTCGTGAACGACGAGGGTTTGTGTGTGTGTTGGCGAATAAGCGAACAAAATGCAAAGTTAACGATTTTTCTCTAAATGTTTTTCATTTAGTTGAATTTTCGTCAGCGTGACTTTGCTTGCACTAGCGCATTCGTAAGTGCTTTCAAACATGATTTTTATGTGCAGTCTTTATGCATCTTCAGACTCTTTTTTCTCTTCTCATCGTTGCGATTTTGATTTTCAGCGCACGTAAAATCTAGAAATTGTTTAACATTGAAATCACTTTTTGCATACAATATCGTACAACGAAAATGGGATTCCGAATGAACTGACCGCAATGATATTTTCTCTTTTTTTCGTTGTTATTTGCACTTTCATTCGGAGTCGAATGGCATGCGACGCACGCTGCTGCTGCTGCTGCTTCCTCGATGAGCTTTTACGTTGCCAATGTTGTTTGCGGTTAATAAAATTTAGTTGATTTTAATCAAGCCGTTTGGATTCAGAGCAGACATGCTAGATGTTTCCAATAGTAAAGCCCCGGAAAAGCACACCACCATACAAATTCGAAGCGATTCAAACATTCTCAAACTAATTATAAAGTTTCGGAATGATGATGATTAATTAAAATTTTCCAAAGTTCAGATTCAGCAAGCAGTAGGAACTGGAATCGTTTGTTTCGTTTTGGCCACACATCGAATGGGGAGACAAGTTAATTGAATTTCTTTACTGCAAACGTCTTTTGAATACGAAATGGCGCACATGTATTGCAATAGTAAGAGAAGAGTCGAGCAAAAACCAATGCAAAGGAAATTCCATTGAAAAAGCATCCAAAATGTTGTTATATACATACATACACACGCAAATTCCCATGACCAATGAAATGGACAAAGTTATTACCACATTTTCAAATTCAATATATTGCCACTTTTCACACGTTTGGCTTCGCGAATTTCAATTTACCTCTTTTAGAGATGGTAGAAAATAAAATATTCCATTTTGTTAATGTTCATGATAAAAATTCCAAGAAACAAGACAAAACACCTTCGGCCGCACACACACACACACACACACACACAATATACCCAAAAGTCATTGAACTGGAACTCGAGCCGCACGGGTTTTCGTCGAAAATAGCAAACAGACAACGAAAACCAAGAAAAAATCATGATAATAACACTTACATTCTTCCATGACACCTTGCGGCTGAGAACATTGAATGCTCTCGTACGATGTTCGCCCGAAACTGGCACTGTAGACGGCGATTCTTGAGTACGGGTTACACATTAAATTAATAGTTTCATTCTCACAGGCCACCTTGCTGCGGAATTCATCTGTAAATAGGAAACAACACGAAATTAATAGAAACGAAAATTTCGGCAATGGAATCACCGAGTGAAAACAATTTGCTCTTCATAAAAAGCGTTAAAAAAATTATGTTCATTTGATTGAGTACATTAAAATTACGATAAAATGAAAAGCAACCACTTGGAATCTTACTCCAAATAAAATGTATAAGAGATGATGCAGGTGAATGAGAAAGTATTGCCACTTAAAAACTGAACTCCATTTCAAAATTAAATTCTTTTGAACAGTCTGCAGCAGAAAATATAGTAATGAAAATTCCATAAACATTAAAATGTTTACATTTAATAAAGTCCCGTTTTTTGGTTATTGCAACGAATTTTCCGAATTATTTTCTCTTCAATTTCGTAGCCAACTTGAGTCCACTGCAATGAACATTGAAATAGATTGAGCAAAAACTACATTTATACAGTTATCGAATGAGCAATTTTCAGTTGTTCCGCATTTGAAATGAAATACTTTGGCTTCATCAAGTGTATCGAGAGCGTACAAGTATTTAGAGAATGTGGTGATATGGTAGTGGTATATACCGATGCGAACATCGAATCTATTCGTACCTTGGAATGGCCACTCAAACGAAATTGTTGCACTCGAGTATATAATTAAAGTGAATTGACCGAACATTAACGATTATATTAATTGCCTCATCAAAGTATTATTGTTATGAACTAACAGCATCACCCAATTACATCGTGTGGAGTGTGCGTGTATTGTTCGTCTCGGCCGTCCATATGTCTCACACCAACACTTGGCATCCGAGTTCATGTGTTGTACGGGAGCAGAAGCGATTCCATTTTGCACGGATATAGGTTAATCAATAACTTTCAGCCACTTAACATACGGCAATTGGAGCAAAGGGAGAAAACAAGAGATATAGCCACATAGGTGTGCCAAAGTGAATGTCAGTTAGAAAAATTAATCTTCGCCACTGAAGCCATAAAGTAGCATTAAATATATGTTTTGGTGTTAATATCGACAGCCCACACACACTCACCAACACAGCTCAAAACAATGGATTAATCTAAATCATTGTTCAGTATCACCATAGAGACGGTGTGCTGCTCGAGTTTTATGGCTGACGGTAATAAAATGTGAACGATGTCAATTCTCTTGGGTGATTTGATTTTGCACTGACTCACTCGAGTTATTCGAGCCAAGTATGGTTGGTTAGTTGGTTGGTTCATTATCTCTTCGGACAAGCTTTAGCAAAAGATGAAATATTTGCAAATGAATAAATAACCCGAAACTATTTCAATATCGCATTTCCATGCCTTATTGTGGATCAATTAACAATTGAAACTATGGAATGCTTCGATAAAATAATTGAAAGTGATAATCGATATTCAAACTATTTGGGGAAAGTAGTTCAAGCCTTATGGAATGGCTAAGCTGAAAATTGGTAAAATAACTGAGAGTCTAAGATTTTCAGCACAATTTACTCGATGAAGCATGAAAAACATAGAACTAATGAAATGAAGCGCACACACTCACACCTCTTCCCCCACCAAAACCACAATGTCTATATCTTTGGTTCTCAGCTGACGAAGTGAATGTGGCCAAAAATAGTGTTGAATAAAATTTTAGCATTAGCTTGAAAAAGCACAGTCTCTGGTATAATCCATAAAATAATGAACGGTATAAATGGCTTGATAAAGTCTACAAAATCATTGGTAAATTCATTTAAAATGCGTCAAAGCGTAAGCTTGTGTTAATACACCGTGGTGTATGGTATGCTGGGGATGAGTATGTTGATTGCATGCAAAATCCACAAAGAAAATAACGTCTGAAGAAATTACTCGGCTGTCGGCTGATGTGCTAACACAGTTTGATGTGCGATGGAGACGTGTACAGAGCATTGAATGCGTCTGCAAATGTCGGAAAAGAAAATCTAAATCAAGTCTACAAGGAGGAGATAAAATTGTAAAACGAACACACACACACATAGGGAGCGATTCGATCGATTCAGGTCGATTCGGTATGGCAAGTAAGTTTTCGAAAATGAAACAATAGCGTGAACCAGTTTTTATAGTGTTTATTCAATGGTAAGGTGTGTCGTATGCAAAGCACAAAGCCCATTTTCCAATGCGACTATTCAGAATGCTGCACATACATACATGTGGCGGTTCACTTTGTTCCGAGATAGAAAATCGGTTTTCGCTTTATTCCTCTCGATCACACCAACCATTTCCACATAAATGGTTTATAGAATCAACTGTATGACACGTTCGTAAAGCCTTCCATGTAAATGTTGTTCAATGAACAGGAAAATGTGATACTACAATGCACACTTTACAGGCATATTCAGCCGAGCACTGCTTTGCCTTGCTGTTTGTTGCCTTTCATTTTATGCTCGAACTTCTGCATTGCAAATCAGTTGAGTCTTTGACTCGCTCCCCCCCTCTCTCTACTTCCCCATCATCATTTATAGCCGATATAAAGACATTCCACATAATCTCGATGGAGTTTTGTGTTGGGTGGTTTTTGTTGTTGTTGTTGCTGCTGTTATTGGCATTGGTGACGACGACTACGGCGACGGTGGTGTTGCTGTTGTTGCCTTCTGTTTCGATAAACAAATAATCGTTTATCACAAAAGCGTAGTTTCAGCGCATAGTTTTGACGATGGAAGTAAATGAGCGAGACAAAATACTTTGCTGCATAGATGCGAAGTATTTAGCCAAAAATACAAAATACGAAAGCAATAGTTGGCTTATCGTTAGACGACAACAACAATAATAACCACAATGCCGGTGCACACAATGATGGCGTGATTGCATGGAAAAACCAATGACTTAACTCATTCTCATGTAACTTTCCATTCGCATTTGGATAGCTAAAGCCTATTTGCCGAAAAACATTCGATGCGCATATGGTTTGCCACCACCACCACCTTGTTACCTCTCCCTTCTCACACATGGACCGCATTTAAAACACTATTATTATTCGATGTTTGGGAAATGAGCAACGTTTCTAATCTCAGCATGTGTCTATTGTTCAATGATACAAACAAACAATATCGCTGTGATTAGCAATGTCAAAAGGAAATACTGCATTCTTCTGTTGGCTGAGAAAACTCATGGGGCCATTTCCCATTGTTTGTTGTATATAAATTGAAAAGAGGATGAAAATACCGACAAAATAATGACCAATCTAATATTTTGAATCAATGTCATCATTAGTATGGTTCGGTTGAGTGGACAAATTTGTGTATCCATTCAATTTCGCAAGGCATAATTAGTTCAGCCACCTCATAATATTGCTGCCCAATTTTCAAGTATGTGTTTACGAAGTTTGTGCGTCAGGCAATGTGTCAACCTCGAGTCACCTTTCAATTTGTATAAGTTTGTGTGACACCAAAAGGCCAACACCAACTCGAAAATTGATGTCAACGAAATATTCCATGCACTTTGATCCATCATAGAAAATTGTTTCTCATTCTCTCTCTCCGTCCATCGCCCGTCTCCATTGAGATAAAGCCACTCAGATTTTCCAGTGAATTTTCCGCATAGAGCAACGCTCTGCCTCTCCAAAATGGGCTAATATTCAGATATTGAGGGCTAATGACCGTTTTTCGTAATTTTAATTGAATTCTTTCAAGCGTCAATAAAATAAATCGTTTAAAAAATAATGAATTTTCTATTGGTGTGTAGTCCATTCATCGTGCGAAATCCATTCAACCCCGAGACGAAAATTCAAAGAAAACGTAATGAATAATCAAATCGTTGAGGGCTGAGAAAGCAGTCGAGGACAATAAAAATGGGAGGGTGGTCGCTCACTTGATAACGATGCTAATGGTTAACTATAAATTCATTATTCGTCGTTATATTAAATTTCGTTAATTTGATGTATTAAATTATTTGCATTGACGCGCTTTGCCAGTTCCCAGAAGTTTGTACATGTAGCAGGTGGCTTTAATGATAGCAAGCGTCATGCTTTCGAACCGACTGAATATCACAATAATATCAATGGCATCCATTCAATTGCAATATCTTTGCTCCAGTGAATTCTTTGAATGCTTAGCATTGCCTACGTAGAACCTATTAAATAATTTTTATTCGAAAAACAACCATTCAATTGTCGTATGCACGATTATTATTTTCACTTTTTACGCAATCATTAAACATTTTTAATGTCGATAGAAAATCACGATGTTTCTGTGTTTTTTTTTCTCGAACAGATTTTGACCAAACCAAATGCGAACCATTTGTTTTACAAAGTGAACACAGCTACTCAGCATGCATCATAAACGCAGAATGTTGATAGGAACACGGATAACAGCAAACACATTACACACGATAAAGGCATGATATTATTTCAGTGGGGAGATTCATAGACATGTATAGATATTTCGCAGAATCTGAAATCTAGACTATATCAGAACACCTATCAACTTCTCTATCGAATTTACCTATATCGATAACAATACTACTATCTATCTCCCCGCCCGTTGTAAACACGGAAAAAGTTATCGTGCCAAGAGTGGATATGATGCTATTTCATCTGTCTGTCTTTCACCGGTTCTGTTGATGATGAAAATATTCTTATGGTATTCGGTAATAAAACGCTTGTTGCCAACTGGCTAGGAGTATCAACACGCCGATAGCAAACAGCATCAAAACACACACATTCAGATACACACACACACTACGCTTTTACATCACAAATGAAATATTCAATAATGTAATCAATTTTCCATAATACATTCATGAACATACACTGTGTTATGCAATTTATTCCACTTGTCTCTCCTACTCTCGCTTTATCACTCGCTCTGTGGCTGCCTCCCTTTAGAGTTGGCATCATTCAATAGTGTTTTCTGTGTACGCTTTGAAGTATCAAGAATTCATGCGATATGCGTTTGATTGTGTGTTCCATTTTATTTATCTATCAATTGATATATTTATTTATGGTCTTTGTGATTTTGTTTGGCTTCATTCCATCTAAGCGTACTTATCTAATTCGCAAGAGACGAATTTCTTTGAGTCTGTGGACATACATGTTACTTTTGTAACAGAGATGTCTTCGAAACGAAACATAGAGAAATGAAAACGATGAATACAAACACAATATTCCAAACTTCATGCACCAATTTCCTAAAGATCTAAAGTTTCCTTTGTATCATTTTCATGGAAATCTGTTCGCGAAATGAGAAAATTTCGACGAAAAAATCGCTTCGTTATGCTATACAACAGATTTACTTTGGAATAAATATCGACAGGTTTCAATACTAGGGGCTTTTAAGTCAAAATATACATTCGTATTTGTGTGAATATTTCGTGAATATTGCATATAATCCGTGTATATTATTCACCATATTCACAGAATATACACAGCATGTAAAAAATATGTGTTTACGGCAATGTCGAATCTTTGTTACCGATCAATGAATATCCATGGAAGCCCCTAGTTTCAATAACGTTCTGAAAAAAGAACGAAAAAAATGCAAAGAAACAACCTGCATTCAATCCATAGCAATCGGTATGTTTGCTGAGTTTTGTATTTCATAGATCAACACCGAATATGATACGTTTTTTTATTTACCAACATTACTACTCGACGTCATGTCTAATAACTGTTTTTCGGTTTTTGTTTTGGTGTGCTAGCCGCTGGCATTGTGCATGTGGATGGAGCTTTGTACCAAAAGCCAAACCTAGCCGTTATTCGACAAAACCTAGAGAAAATACGTTCGATATCAAAAGCGAGTATTTTTTTATGATTTCTATTATTTTTGCCTTCGTTTCCAATGACATCGTTTCTTTTTCACGCTGTTATGGCACTAGCTTTGGATGCCTGGTGTTTTTGATTACACAAATAAAATCCACACTATTTACGCTTTATCGGATGTATGAAGCTTTTTTTTATAAAAAAATAAATAGAGAACGAGTAGAGCAAAAGAGTGAACCGAAAAAAGTGCCCCAAAGGACAATAATACACATGGTGCATATTATATTATATGACTTAAGTTTCTTGAAGCGAACGAATTTCCCTTTTTTTGTTTTTGTTTCCTTTTTGGGGATTTTGTGTGCACAATTTAAAATAAAATAAAGAGGAGAAAAAGGCAAACAAAAAACGTGTGGCATAGGCCATACACAGACACACATAGACACATCGAATTCATTTTGCATTTTCCAAAGCACATCATTTCAAATATACATGAAAGCCTCGCTCATTCGATGGATAACGATTTTTTTGGCTCGTTGTGTACTCTGTACGCAAAATGTAGCTAAAACAGCGAGAGAATTAGAGAAAAAGGAGAGGAAGAGAGCTATGGGAAGTATATATGGCTTGGGATATCGTGGAAAAACACATAGGTGTGACTTTTAATTTTCAATAAAACAGGATGGAAACGTAGAGCATTGACAGTTGAAATGAAGTTGAGGAGGTGCGGGACTATTGGCACACCTATCTCATTACTATGCAAAGCAAATATGTTGAAGCCGGAAGCCGCCGAATATTACATGTTCAATCAATGAAAATTTTGGCCAAACACACCGTTCACGCTCGGAGCCAAATCGAAAAAAGTGACGAACAAAGATTGACATCGTTTGCACCTTGTTTGTTATCCAACGCGTCGGCACTGTCACCAAAATGCGAGCCAAACTGTTTGAACATTGTGACATTTTCGTTGGAAATGTCGAATAAATTAATTTAAATGTTGAAATAACAACGTCGCAAATTATGCGAAGCTGCATCGATCGAAAATCCCATGCAAACAACCTATCACAAACGTTCAACGAACATTTGAGCTCAAGAAAAATACAAAAAAAAAATCAATCGAAAAAACGCCGAAGCGATCAAAGCGAGAAAAAAAGAGCAGAAAACACATTTCGCTGGTCGCAGATAAAATATGTTCGGCTAACTTTTCTACTAGACGCTGATGAAAAAAAAAAGAACTGCAAACGCACCGCACCGCACCACACTTCAATTCCGTGCAAAATCGGATTTCAGCATGGGAAAATTAGTGTGAGTGTGAGTATGCATTAAAATTAACAATACGATACTCATGATGAATGAGTATGCTTTTACTTACACGGACGGCACTTGTATGCGATTTCAATGAATTTGGTCGTCTCCGGGCATGGATCGTTGTTCATTGTTCGTGACGATGCCAAAAATTTACAATGTCTCTTCTTTTGGCAAGCTTCCACCACAATCTGTAACAGTGCATACTGAAAAGAGTCAAGAGTAGACAACAAAAAAATTAGTCGGCACAAAAAAATATGTATGTATATATGGATATATCGTTGCAAGAATAAAGAAGGTGAAGAAGAAAAAAAAATCACCGGAAACATTTTAAATAAATTACGTATGTATCGTTAGTTTTTTTTCTTTCTTCATCCGCCTCATTCGCATGGAAGAGAAATGCTTTTAAGCTCGGCTATTAGAGCAAGCGCGAACGCAAAGCGACAGATACAGTGAAAGAGATGGAAACTTTAACAAAGACAAACTCAGTAAATAGCAAACGAGTCCATACGGAAACAGTTGAAAAACTTAAAATGATTTATATCAATGCCTTTGCTTCTCTCGCTCTCTTCTTTTTTTCTAACAGTGCTTTTAAAAATCAACACACAAAAGAGGGAAAATTCACAGGAAACTCCTATCAAATGCGAATGAAAGCTCGAACGGCAGAAGTAGAGGCAGAGAGAGAGAGAGCGAGTGAGTGCAAAAAAACGTCGGAAACCCTTTAAACGTAATGTGTACATTATTTTATTAAATTTTTCTACGTCAACCGAAGTGTCACATACACACATATACACCCATCGAAACCGGTCGCTAGATGCTACTGATGCTGTTGTTGCTATAATTGTACATTTCTGGGTTCGATATTTTGCGTTCGGATTTGCGATTTTGAAAACATCATTTGATATACCAAACATTCCGACGTCGAATCGATTTATTTATTGGAATTTGAGACATTTGCTCACAGATAATCTACCAAACTGAAAGCTACAAAAACAATTCCTCACATGCATAAACGCACACATATGAGGCCATCACCAGGTTTTTGCCCTATTTTATGCGCTCATTCTTCCGTTCTCTTGATCTCAATTCACATGCTTTATCCATACACACACACACAGACACACATGCAAAGAAGTGGGAATGTGTGATTAGTGTTGCACCTTGCCGGCTCCGGCACATTTCTCTCCGGATCTATCTCCAAACAATGGCAATGGTGAAAATGGATACGAGGAAAGAAAGTCATGTGATAAATGTGAGAGCATGAATAAATTCTAATAAATAACTCGATGAAATGTTTAAATGATTTATTTGATTTTTTGCACTGGCGAAAAATAAGCGACACCGGATAGAATGTGCTGAATATTCAACGGGTTTTATTCGGTTACTTCGTCTCTGTCTCAGTTTCTCTTTTGCTCTCTTTCGGCTTTGGTTCCTCTTGTTCAGGAATTTTCATGAGCTGTGAGGAAGCTCACGGAACTGTGATAAATATTTTGTAAATAGGAGGAAAAAGTGAGACGACAAGAAAAAATGTGCTCACATTGTTCACCAGAACCAACATCAATATATTTATCACCTCACACAGCAACCGCTTCGCTCGCTTATTTCCAAACGAACGGATGAACATTGATGCCAAAGAAGTTGATGTCGTCGACGATACCAAAAGATGTTCTAATTCAATTTATTAACATTTGTTTCATTCATCGTCATTCGTTTGTTTTTTTTTTTTTGGCGTATGTTTGTGTCATTTAATAAAATTCTGTCGATTAGTCTGTCCGAGCTAGTTCAAAATGGGTTTCATACGCTAGATGAATTAAATACGGTTTCTGTTTTGGATTTTTTTTCCTGTTTCAAATTTGATTCATTTTGAGCGTAACAACCTGCTTTCCACTATGGCCACTATCATCGCCGCCGTCGCCATAACCACATCCAATGCAAATGATACAAACATTATATGAGGTTGACAAACGTACGCATCCTTCTTTGCTAGTGACATAACGGGTTGGCTTGGCACACTTGCTTCGGGACCGTTGTGGATAACCGACAGATAAAAATAGCAAACGATTCTGTGGTATGATAAGGAGAAGTTGCTCCTTTTTTGCTTTAGCCAAGTAGAGGATAAAAAAAACGTAGCAGCAGCAACAACGGCACCAGCAACGGTTAGAGCCAACAAAGTGTGATGAAATATGTGCATTGTGTATTCTAACACGCATCCGATGTGCTGCCGAATGTGCGACAAGTAAATGGTCGACCGTTTGTTAAAAGCACCGTGAACAATTTGTTTAGCTGGTAACAGCTATTTATAACAGTAACTCATTTCTTGTTGGTTGAATTTAAATTTAATTCGACAATTTTCGTTGCATTGCTGTGTGTGTGCGGTAGACACATACGCGCTGAATTTACATTGAACAATTTTAGCACATATACGACGAGCAAAGGGACAACGATCCGGAAGATAGAGATGGAGAGAGAGAGAGAGAGAGTCGCCACTGCGATGAATAAAGTGTGATAAACAACGTACATTGCTAATTTTGTTTCTTTTATTCTCTGGTAAATGTATTTCTGGTTTCAACACACTGGCGATAAAAAGAGACACTACGTGCGCGCGGTATATAAATTTAGAATTTGATAGCATGGAAATATGGTTGGCTACAGAACTGTTAATTCCACCCCGTTCCCTCGGTTCACACACACAAAAGGATGGCATGATAGCATGGAATGAATATCATCGGAAACGATGGAATAGATTTATTAATGTTGAAAAAGGACACAAGGAAGCCTATCCATGAATAAAAGCCAGCAGTCAGTCGATGGTTTTGCCAATAAACGTTGTCGATTAATTTTCTTGAGCGCCAAACTTGAGCGTATTTGTGTGTTTTTCAAATAATTATTACCGAAAAAACAAACAATTTAAGCCGAAATTATGTTTGCGCCTTAATTCCTCGTTCATCCTTTTTTTCATGGGCTTTTTTTTTTTATTAAAAGTTCTATCAATTTGATCGGATTTAAGGTCTTTTTTAGCCCATAGATAATAAAAATTTTGATCTGGGTACAGGGAAAAAATCAACTTTAAACCAAGAAGCGCGCGTCTATTCTATCGATCAAAAGTGAAACATTACCGAGGGATAAATTTGGTTTTTGTTCATTTCCTGGAGTACCACGTTCTTATGTGGTTCACTCACCGACTGATAATCATAAAAATGGCACTTGCTGCTTTGAAACCAGTTCGCACGTGCTGCTGCACCTATTACAATCAATCATGTTGTGAGCGTTTTTCTGCCTCTACTTTAAATATTTGCCATCTATTAGATTATTCATAATGTGATTTATGGAGGATGATTGAATCTGAATATGCCAATAACCAAAAACGGTGGTAAGAGAGCAATGAAGGAGATGTAATCGGATTTCAATCCTTTTTCATAGAAGAAAAAAACACCGAATTTTTTTTCAACCTTCTCCGAATTGTTTGTTCGACGCAAACAAAGGCCAGATGAGCATCCGAAAAAAAGACGGCTATAGATCTCTAGAGGATTATCTTTTGGATATTGAGCATTTAGTTGCCGGTTACATCACATCAACCAGAAATTGCCCGATTTCCAGCTCCAACAACTAGGAGAGGTTGAAATGTGAAAATTCCCATTTCTATTGTTGTACACTCGAAAGTTAATTAAACAATGGAATGTAACAATAGAACACTTGTTCAAAAAGGCAAATAGAGAGAGAGAGTGAGACAGAACGAGAGAAAGAGAGGGAGAAAAAAGTTTAGATGAATATCAAATGATAGCTACCCATCATTTTATTCAATCAGCAGCATTTCAATTCAATGTTCAATGTGGATTACGTACCCACTCCAAATAACTCTTTTTTCTCCATATATCGTTGCAGAGATAGGATTGACCAAAAGCATGAGAACAGACCAAAAAAAATAACAATATTGCAAAGAAAACAAATTAAATCAATTTCGGATTTTGGCCAACTTTTTCTTGCATGCTACAGCAAAAAAGCGTTTCCGATCAAACAAATAGACATGGGAATGAGATAGAGAGACAGGGTAAACGTAAATTCGGTACTTCTACAAATTTGTAAGTGTGTAGCCAAGCATTCACATTTTTTTTGTTCTTTTTTTTACTGTACGTTCCATTTTCGGTCCATCTCCTTTCGGCTAGTTCCACGAAGCGGTTTTATTTGGCATACTGTGAAGTGTATTGCTTCATCTTGTTTTCATCTACTTCGTGATGTATAACTTTATTTCATGTAACCACAACGATACACGATACACGATACACGAGCCCTAAAAACAATGTAAATTTCTGCATTTCCAACCGAACGAACGAAACTGGAACAAAAAAAGCACACACAACAATTTGCGCAGTTTCATCATCAAATCATAAATTCCACGAATTCCGATTTACTCTCCAATCGCTCCATTTTACATCGTAAACATGCAATAGCAAAAGCACAGTTTGCTTGTCGGTCAATTGAGTCGAGAGCCGCTTCGCTCGATTCCATTAAAACTCTCTCTCTCTCTCTCTCTATAATGTTCAATACCGTATGAGGAAAATATTGCATATTTGCGAATCGAAAATGCTATTCATTTCCATTAAGCGGATTTGTAGCAATAAAATTGGAAATATTAGGCCGAGACAAAACACAGCAGATGAAAAAGAGCGAGAAGGAGAGAGAGTCAACGAAATGGAGATGTGAGGAAGAGCGCGCATGGAATGAATTCAATGAGGATAATGATGAACAATTGGACTATCGTTAGTCGAGAATAAATTGGAAAAGAAACCGCAATGCTACTTATCGATTTTATTTTCGGTTGCGCATCACACAGGCCTCAAAATAACTACCGTTTCTAAAATTTTGTGCATTCATCATCAGCCCATTTGAGATACGTGTACAATGTACATACGCCGAATGGATTCTATTATTGGGTTGACGTTCGCTTGCTGTTTATTTTTTTTGTCATGCGATAAAAAAACTTTTCGCACTGTGTCAATAAAACAGCGATAAAACTCGTCGATCGAGAGCCAGCGAGAGCGAAAGAGAGACAGAGCAAAAAAACAACTCCGCAGTTTATGTTCCGAAAACGATTCGGCTATTCCTATACCGTTTCGTGTTTTTTTTCTCTCATTGGCTCTCGTTCTCTTTTTCATTTGGCTTAATTCTATTCGATCAACCGAGATTTTTATACTCTGTGCCACACAAAAACCGAATTATACGGAATTTCGGAATTGTTCCCAATGAAACAGTGAAAAATGGGTGAGCGAACAATCGCAATTATTAGTAGTTGTTTATAACTTGTCGTATGTCATTTGTTATGTTACGAATGCAATCGGGAGGAACGGGAGAATGCTCGTTTTTTTACTCTCAACAATCGAGAAAAAAACATGCTCGGTTGACACACCGAACCGAAATTCGACGGCAGTAGCTGAGAGAGAATGAGAGAGACAAAGAAAAGGATTAATTGAAGAGAAACAATGGGAATCAACTGGCAACGGGAAAGTTTTAATGCGGATCCAATTCATTCATATGAAAAATTGCTGATTGGTTTATTCAAACACAAAGAAAAACGAACAAACGACATAAAACAACCGCACAGCAGATTTGGGCACTGAGGTTCTGATTTTCCGCATTCATGATGGTGGAGCCTCACAAAACTTGTAATTTTCAAATCCAGAAAACTTCCACATTGAACATTTCATTTTAGCTCGCTCTTGCTCTCGCTCTCTATCGGTATGTGTATGTGTGTTATTTATTTTAACTTTGTTCATCTCACTGCAACAATTTGATATTTTCCAATGGATTCATGACGAAGAAAGGAAGTTGACAAGAAATTAACTCTCTCGGGACTTAATACGAAATGCATATTTGATGCACAATAGGATTTAACGAATATTTTTCGTTGGCAAACTTCAAGTTGAAAACCACCATGTGCACAGCGTGCACTCAACTACAACTTTTTATCAACGGATTACCGTACATATCTATAACTGTGTATGTATGGAATGTATGGAGTGTGCTGAGTATGCCGAAAATTCAACATTTTCGCAGTGATTTTCCAAAGAAGCGATATACATACATACCGTGGCGACGAAACATAGTGGCAAAACCATGCGATGGGAATCAAGAAAATGGAATTGTAAATATTTATTAGAGAATTTTCGAAAAGCGAATATAAAAGTTGAAAACTATTAGTGAATGGGATGGGTTTCCATTTAGCCTTGAGCGAGCGAGCGAGTGAGAGCTTTCTACGGATTAATTTGCTCTTGACAATAATCGACGTGTAGATTTTGTAATGGGTGTTCTTTGGTTTGTGCAACGACCGCTACCATTAAGAGATTTAATCATCATTGTTCTTTCAAGTTTTCCGTTCGAAGCATTTTGAGTGAAAATCTGCTGTGAAACTTTTTCGTAATATTAACCAATTCAAGCTTTACAAAATTCCCGAAATGCGACCATTACGAGGCGCACACTTTTGGATATAACGGTAATTCTCTTAAACGACACAAACTGTACTGTATATACTTCTAGTTCTTCAAGAAAACTTAGAATCTCTCGAAACAGCTTCTTTTCCCTCTTATGACACCCGAATTTTCATCGGTTGCAAATCTCAACTTGAGACATGATTTTCGCATTTGGATTTGCCATTGTCTCGATAGAATTCAAATAGACTTAAATACCACGTTGATTTTGGTTACGGTGTCAAAACAAAGCAAAGACAGGCTGGGAGGTAACACCGTAACCGTATGCGTGCACATAAATCATTCATTCCGATGTCATCATTTATCAAAGAAACATTAATTGCCAAATGCCGAACTAGGGGGATTTCACTCTATGCGAATACTGTCATTCGTACGAATGCGCGAATACTTTGCCATGCATTTGAATATAAACACTCGCAAATACTGATATTCGTGCCGAATATTCGCATTCGTACGAATAACCATTTAATGTATCTATACAGCGCATTAGCGAATACGTCCGAATATTGCTGCGCGAATGCGAATGCACTTGACAGATCTATATTGATTTGTTGTGTTAATCGTTGCAACTACATTGTTTACATTATTTCGCCAAAATGGTAAATAGTTATTTCGATCCAAATTTAATATCAATTTAAGTTGTGTTTTGTATTTTAGGGACTAGAAAATGTTATTTTCAAATTAGAAAAATATTTGAATGAAAAAATTCCGGCTGATATTATTAAAATCCTGGAATTCTGTGCATTTGAAAATGAATCATCTCTAATGTCCATTGACAACGATGCTATTATGGATATCGAGAACTATGTCATTGAAAACCCAGAAATTCTCAAAGAAACATCATACGAGAATGTGAATAGGTTTAAATTTAAACCGGGTCACCGATTGTTTATCCAGTTGCCACAGTTAATCAAGAATTGTAATCAAACGGAAACAAATTTGCAAAAAATCGGACACCTGCGACGGCAAATGCTTAACGTAACTAATGCGCTTTCTATATCAAATCCAGAATGTGTGAGAATTAATTGTAAAATTTCTGGTAGAGGTTCACCTAATGCACGTTGTAATTTTTCAAACACGTCTGACATCTTTCCACATGTTTGACTGTGTTTGACACTTCATCGCAACTGAGCGCATTCGCGACGAATACATGTGCGAGTGTTTTAATACGTTTCATATGCGGAGTCGCGCGAATGCTCGCGCGGCAGTACGAATACATGGTGCGAATGCAAATACTTATACTGTTTTTTGCGAATGCAGGATTCGTGCACGAATGATCATGTATTCGAATGCGAGTGAAATGCCCCTAGATGCCGAATCCTGCGTAAATTCCAAATTGCCTTCACTATTGTATTAATTCGCAATTAAACCGTGTTTAATTGCTGTTACCATGTAAACAGGAATATGGTGCGAATCAGAATAATACCAAGTGAATATGTGGCAAAGCGATATTGCACAATTTGTAGTAGGATTATTATTTATTTGGAAATATAAATTTGTCGACGTTGTTGGCCTTTCTGCCATTCGACTCCGTGGGTACTCTCACACTCACACATACACGTCGATTCCCCTTTAATTTGTCAATTATGGTATTTATTACATAAATTATGTAGAGAGCGAGAGCAGCACCAGCAAGAATGCACAGTGGTAATGTGTGATGCGTGCTCTTGCTTCATCGCTACTGATGTTTGCATGTGGCACGATTTGATGCCGCTTAATATTCATAATAAATGGCTTGCCTGGGTTTTTATAGAAAATCACAACGACGAAAAGCTCTACAGTGTGCCTAATGTGTTGCTGTTACAAATGAAGATCCATTTTACAAATCATAGCTGCACTCGCTGGAATATTTCGGAGAGTTTGTGAGTGAAAGGGAGAGAAACAGCGCTAAATCAACATAAACGGAACCAGAAACGAGCTCGCTCGCTTGCTCACGCGAGAGAGATGTTCGATACAAGTTTGGCTGTGTTATGTTGAGTGTCGGCTTATTCGCAAGCCAAATGTGAATTGGTTGCATGTTTTCACAACCTCACGGCCATGCATCTCTAACTGAAATGTGATGTGATTTATTCGGTGCACATGTGTTTAAAACCAGCCAGCCAACACACCACCAACCAACGAATGAGTGCCATGTTTAATATTTAAATAACTAATGGGTATGTCTGTGTGTGTGTGTTAGTGCGGCGTGTTTGTGTGTATTTGTTCAATTTGCAACGCCATTGTTATAAACACTAAAATTGACGCAGTTTCGCAATTCTGGCAACACTCGGAACTGTTCGATAAACACATTCCGTTTAAAAGTGTGAATTATGGGGTTTTTGTGGGATTGTACACGGAGAGGGGATGCTTGAGACTCATTTTATGACTTGTTGAAACTTAATTGAGAATAAAACCAAACAAATTTCGATTCAAATGAATGTGATGAATGTGTGAAAATGGAAGCAACCGTATTTGTGTAGGTAATTTGGGGCCATCACTCAATATATTTGATATGGCCTAATGAATACCAAACAAGATCAAGGTGTATACGGCAAATCACACCATGACCATGGTTTTTTTATGACTTTTTTGGACAGCTCACCACTCACCTGATACACTCTGTCTCTCGTTCGTTATCTCATTTGCTCGTCAAATATTTTATATAGCTTCATTTGCAACCAAAAAGAAACCGTTCTATATTATTATGTATATGTGTAAGTTTTACTGTGTGGAAAAGTGGATGGCGACCGCAGATGGTTTCGCAGAGAATGTTGTAAATGGGTTTTGAAACCCCTTTTTCTGCATAACATTTTACTAACCATACAAATGCATGGCACAAACATAATGGCTACATGAAATTACCTGTAATTGATAGGTCAAGCATGTCTCAGGTGGTTTCACTTCAATTTCGGTGTCATCGGTGCGAGTTGTATCGACTTTCGTTTGATCTGTTCGTGGCGGACACATATTCGAAACGGGACCATCTGGAAATGGGAGAAAAAAAATTCATTAACCAAAATGTAAATAAAAGCTTTAATTCGGTACGAATGGAGGGAAGTTCCACGGACTGTTGAAAAGCGCTGAAAAGGAGTTTTCGGTTTTAGTTTCGGTTAGATTCGTCTGGGTTTGCTGGATTTCTACCATTATCGTGGCAAACCGAACCATCGTGATTTTAGCCAACGAAATACGTGTGAGCGGTTTTTCTTTTAAAATTAAACATTTGCACTGTGACTAATTATTACCGATTTCAACATCGTTACACCATGTGATCTCTGATGCTTTGGCCCCATTTTTGGCATCATCACCAAGCGGGCACATGTGAGTGTATTTTCGAATGGATTTTAATTAAAAAACAATTTTCAGCTTAATTATCTACATAAACACCATCTCATTTGGCATTCCTTTGGTCGTTGTGTTGTGGTATAGTCCGTAGCAATTTCATTAGCTCTACCTGTGGCTACCTAACAAAATGCTCTGTGCAGAACGAACGTTGCAATTTTTTTGTCATGTATGTTCATTGTTTGATGCTCTTGAGTCATTTCGGGCGAATGCTCGGGATGAAAAGATTATCGCATGATATTTTAATCAGGGAATGTCTGCACGTAGATTTATTCAAATAAATTAAAAATATCGAATAAATTTATCCGATATTGTTCATGCGTTGCGTTGTTGTAACGCATCTGCAGTACAAAAGTCATATTCTCTTCCGGATTTGCCAACTCAAACACTTCCAGAACACATTGGACCAGGTCGGGTCCACCTGCTCCACAAGTTTCACTTCCAGCTCAGGCAATATTTCATATGTTTTTACTAGTTTTGTTTTCAGCTTATATTTAAAAATGGCGTTTATAAAATATAGGCTGAGCTGGAAGTGAAACTAGTGGAGCAGGTGGACCCGACCTGGTCTAATGTATTCTGGAAGTGAAGTCCTCCAGTACGCTAAACTAGTAAAACACTAAATCGCATTATTTTCGCCGAATTCCGCTACTACCAAATTTGAGTTGGAAAATCCGGAAGAGAATATGAACTTTGTACTGCAGATGCGTTACAACAACGCAACGCATGAACAATATCGGATAAATTTATTTGATATTTTTAATTTATTTGAATAAATCTATGTGCAGACATTCCCTGATTTTAATATTGCAACGGATACTGGATAATAGGATATGGAGCATACACACACATCGTCAAAATCCAAGAAATACAAACAGGAATTTCATTGTTTCTGAAGTGTGAATATCGTTTGACTTGTGGTTAGGTCATTTTGTTTATCATGTTCTTCAGAATAACTAGCGTGTGTTGCACTTCGGCTCGTGGCAATATTCTGATCATCATAATAAACCTAAAATAATAGCCAAACATAAATCCGTAAATGGGAGACACTTGAATGTACATGATCTGACCATACAAAATTGGCATGAATATACAAGCATCCACTCAAATTGTTTAATAGGAAACTACCTTTATTTTGAAGTATGTATGCAAAATGAGAAATCTTTTGTTTTGATGATTAGAATTTTGCATTGAGAATCGATATTTGAAAGGAATGTCTTGCAAATATCTTGAATAATGGACATCAACAGTAATTGAACGAACGCAGAATATATTCCCATTGTATGCGATTGTGTATACAATTTGAGAATTGACGTGAAATTGTGATGTTTTAAGCTAGTAAATTCCTTATGATATCCGATTTGTTGGCCGACCATTTTGCAATCGGAAATCATTGAAACGTTGATACCATTGTTTAATTAATATGTGTTTCTAGGCAACTGATTTGAACCATACATTTGTTGTTTGTTTCATTCAAAAATATACGGAAAATCTCCAGCCAATGAATTACGGATGGGGAAAATGAAAAACACGAAAGAAAAGGCAAAAAAGCGCAGCACCAATAGACGAAGCTCAATTGATCCGTATAAATATTAAACAGAAAAACGTAGTACATTGTAATTGAACGCATCATCAAAGGCTTCAATCATTCATCAATCATTCGCATTGCTGAGCTCTCGTTCACGGAAGTGGCATTTTCATTTTGAAATTCAAATCGATTACATTGAAGAAAAAGCCGAATACGAAAACAAATGAACCGGTGCGATGAACAGTTGGCTTCAGAATATTTTTGTTTTAAAGGACAACATAATTTGTTTTCATATAGAGTTGTTATTCTGAACTTTGTATAAAAAAAAATTCTGTTGCATTTTAAAAGAAAAAATACTCTGAAGCCAACTGTTCATTTCACCGGTCCAAATATTTGCATTCGATTTTTTTTCTTCTCTCGCTCATAGCAGCTATAGCTTAAGGCTTTAGAACAGCGAATTGAACCGAGATGTTCTTTTATATAGTAGTCAACATTGGTTGATTTGTCATTCTTCATGTGAAGCCAAAATACGAATTTTCCAATGAACAAAGGGGCGGAATGTTAATTCCAATGATCCAGCTTCCGAAACACACACACATCGATTCGGCGATTATACAATACATCATACAACTGTTTGTACTTTGTATTTTTGCATCGGAGAATGAGTTAATTACAAACCAAACTTGGGATTAGAGAGCACGACGCATTGAAATGTGGAAATTCAAAAGAGAATCGAACGACAATAAGTGCACCATTTAACACATTGACAACGGCAAACAAAATGTGTAGTACTTCCATTGAATTGAAAGATAGCGGTTTCATTCAAACAGCATTCCTTTTGTATCAATGATTTAGAAAACAGCAACTACACTGCGTATTGTTTGCACAATCACAACCGCATAGTACATACACGATCACTGGAGACTATTTTTCCCTATTGTTTTACACTTTTATTTGGTTTTGGAATTGCAATAACTGGTTCATTAAGTGAGAAAGAGGAAAAGAGGGAGAGAGAGGGGCGTAGAGCCATAGAGAGCAACAATGTAGAATGTGAATGTTTCTGAAATGACAAGTATCAAGCAATGGATCCAGTATTCATAATAACCGTAAACGATAGCTATTGTCATATTCAAAACGTCACTCATGCTCGTATTCATTCGTTGAGAGTTTAAATATGACCTAAATGTCATTCACTGGGTATGAATTGTCACAAAGAAGTCAGCCCTCTCGTCTTTTGCTCGTGCAGCAGCGCATGTGAGCTGCTGAACACGTAACAACGTAGAACTCTCACTCTCCCTCTGTGTATGTGTCCCGTTGTTTCGCTTCATCATCAGTTTTTCATTTATGATTGAAACAAAACCACATATTTCGTACATGATGCGCATTGTACACGTTGTATTCGTTGAAAAAGTCAACAAATTCATGTCAAAAGAGGAAAATCCACTCACGGATCTATCTCTCGCTCTCTTTTCAAGCACATTCTTTTGAAATTGGAACGCGTGAACGCTGAGTGCAAGGCAACGTAATTGGAGCAAATGAAATTGTATTATGTATGAGTATTACGGATGTGTTGCGAGTTCATTGCATTGACCGAAAAATATTGTTAAAACACTTTGCTCCGGAGAAAAAATCGAGCAAAAAAGAGAGTAGCAAACGTACGGGAGAGAAAGAAAAGTGTACGGTGACAAGGACCGAAAGATTTTCCAATGTATTGCTAGTGAAAGTGTGGCGAATTGTTGAAGGATAGTACTAGATTTTTGGTTGACACACAAACACACAAAGATGCTTCTTACTTTTTTATTCTTGGGTGCCTTGAGAATGGAATGAATTCATGAAAAGCAAATAATTACACCAGAATGCGATTTAAGCCAATGGCAAACGATGACAATGTGAAGATTAAGCCACCGAAAATAATGTGCGGGGATTTAAGTGAAAAACGAAACGATTCCGGGAAAATTCTACTGCAAAGCGTTTTTTTTTTTAAATTTAGCACTTTGAATGCGCGCAGCAGCATCAAGCACACATAATTTAACGAGAACAATGTCGAAGCTGCGAGCTGATTAAATTGAATCTTCTTGAACTACAACTCCCAATCGTTCCCAGCACTCGACAAAATTTATTCGCGCTAGTGAGTGAACCGCTCTTTGGCAGCAACGAAAATTGAGATGGAAGATATCAAAGAACATGGCAAACAATAAGTGATGATAAGCAACATGACATGAAGGAATCAAGCGAAGCAGCCAACATCAACAGTGACAAAATGCACGCAAAGAAGGAGGAGAAGAAGAGAGACCGGGAGACACCGAGAGCAATAGGACAACACACATACTAAATGTGTGCGAGACACAAGTCACAAAAAATGATCACTTTACGAGTCACACATAAAACACAATGGAACATAAATCTTTAATTTTAAGACGACACACTCACACACACGCACCAACCCAAAACACTGACAATCAATTCACATCGTACATGGCATATATATCGTTACAATGAACATATTTGGCATTTAGTGAGAGACACATCGACTCGATGCGATATGGATGGAACGTGCTGGATTTTCAGGTTGCGTCTCTCTGTGTGTATAGCTGTCGGGTTTATTTTTCGTTGTTCTTCTTGTGCTTGTCGTTCGATGTACGCTCGTCTTGGTGTTTACTCATGTTAATGTTCTTGGCTGGTGCATGCAACTCTCGAACCGACCAGTAGACACGGAAAAAAACAACGGGCGAGCGAGCGAACAAGCAAACGAGCAATCGGCGGCGGCGACAACCGGGAGAGAAAAAAAAAAATTGTGCAAGATGCTTATACCCAGTAGATCAGCAATGCAATTTCGACACACATACATAGCAACAGAAAGGCGATTCAATCTCCAGGGAACCGAATTGGTTGCATTTACGTCGTTTGCTAGCAAACGATGTTCAGATTTTTTTCCCTTTTCAATCTACTACCGAATGGAGTGAGAAAGTGCTGGCATATGAGCACACGAATCGAGTATCTTTTCCTTTTCTCTGCTCAGATTCTTTTTTATTAAAGCGTCAAAAGTGTTGCATCGCAAAAAGGGGAGAAAGAAAGGATGTATCTCGAGAGCAAGGAATTTCAACATTTTAATACACGCTGCAAAATTTAATAACCTTGTGCTTTATTCGAACGAAGCTCGCTCCTTCTCTTGCTCTCTTTGGAGAATCGGTTAATTTAACTACAAATTTTCATCTGATTCAATTTGCGTTAATATTTCCACGCGACGGCACGTGGCGCTATCACTGATACTTTATTGTTGTCTTCTTCTTCTTTTTGTCGTGTCATATAATTTTCGCAGAACATCAAAAGGCTTTGCGACCTCCTTGGCGAACTCAGTAGTTCCGTCCGCGTTTATTGATAAGTTCATAATGTTATCCAACATAACTTTCAAGCACAGTGACTTTTCTATAAAAAAAAAAATAAAACAATTGGTGGGTTGGGAGTATGCTCTCTCTCTTTCTGATGCAAAAAAAAACAGCACCAGCGCAACTTAAATGTTTTATGTAAATTTAATTAAAAATAATCACAATTAAATCGGTCTAGACGGGTTTTTGTTGTTCTTTTGCATTTACCACCCGAAAATTCCTATTAGATCAAGTGGCTTTTTCACTTTGTGTGTGTCGCGCTGATTCAAAAGCATTTTCGGCTATGAAAATATTTACTTGATGCCAATGAAAATGGCACATGTAATCTGGACGGAAAATTGTCGGCTGAAAATTCATTCCGTTTGTTCATGAAACGCATCTTAATTTTATTAAATTACAACTGGCATCCATTCTGAGATTTCTACTGTTTGTCGCCGTCGCACAACCACGCCATCGCTCATAGTGTTGCCAACTGTGACAGTGTATTCATTTCATATTCAAATCGTTTCGGCATTCGAATTGAAGTCAACATTCCTTGCATATAAATAATGAATTGCGTAAATTGGCAGCGGCGGCGACGGTGGAGGCCAAAATCCATATGAAAATGCTGTAATAGTAATAATTCAAGGGCGACCGCATTATCTCGGAAGATGTGATAAAATTATTGTGGTAACACCCATATGAGCTGAACCGTTATATATATCATCAGCAAATGATGTTATGAGTAAATGAGCTGTGCATGGGGCCTCATAATAAGACATTAAAAATGAGCATAGATTTCGATGCGAATATGATACTCTTTTGCCATCCATGTCTATTTATAGTCTATATGAAATGATGCGGCCATTGACAGTGCACAGATTTTCGATTGCCTTTGTCATTTAGATTATGAAATGAACCGTGCAAAAGCTACATCATTTATTTTAATATCGAAATATGTTTTTTTTTTCGGGTGAAAATATGCAAACTCAGCAAATTCTTAATAGACATAATATTTCCACGTACATGGAATAACTCCTTTTTTTCGTTAAAAAAAGGGTCCGTTAAAAAGGTTCACATGCCCAATTAACATTTTGCAAATGGATGCAAACACTCACATTTCACATTCAATGAAGCTTCATCAAATTTGAAATTATTATTAATTGTTGGCTTTGGCCAAATGAAACATAGAGAAGGAAAAAGGGAAAGACAGGGAGAGAGAGAGAAATTCCGCGTAATATGATTTAATGAGGGATTGAAGTGGAAGCATGTTTTCATTAGTAAATCAGTAAGTCATATTTACCGATTCATTCATTGGGCCACTTTGATAGAATTTATTCCAATTATAAACACACAAAATAGAAGTATTATACTGAATAATTGATGAGTCAAGCATGGCTTAGTTAACACAGCATGGCTTAGTTAATGTTATTACGTCCAATTAGTTACAGTGAAGGGCTCTCAAATGTGCTTGTCAATCGAAAAATATGGGAAATTGGCTCGAAATAAGTGTTTGTTTCCGCTTTTCATTTGGGTTTAATTTGGTGCCGTAATTGATATGCGTGGGGAATGGATTATATTGCATCGAATTTTCGCAACAAGCGACACAACATCTTAACACACGGTTTTAACAGGATTCTACATTTTCGATTTATTTATCCGACTTGCGGCAAATGTAGTTAATTTGTTTACTTTTTGAGTAACAGACACGCTCAACTTTTTATTTCAGAAAATGCCAACTTTTTCCGTGTAAATTATCAGTTCATCACTTTTGATTTATGCGCCTGATGCCGCATTAAAAGTGTGAGAAAAAAACGCTTAAGCTGATTATATAGAGCTTTGAAAACTTGCATTATGGCACATTTTACCGTCTCAAGTAGCTCGTATTTTAGTTGAAGAATTTTTTCTATTTTTTTCTTCCACAAAGATTTGCTCCCTTACTCGATCTGCTATGATAAGTTTGGTGTTCGTTTCAATTTTTTTTCTGTCACCCAACTTTGAGTTGACGAAAACTTTTTCACAGCCACATTGTGAGCGCACACCGCGCAAATACACTTCAACTTTGCCAAAACAGTTAGGAAATACAAATATAGTGTGTTGTCCAAAAACACCCTGGAGATAACTCAAATGAACCTAACCACACCAAACAAAAAATGTGATGAGACTTTTTTTCCGTAGAAAAAAATCGAAATGTATCTAAAAAAAAAACAATCCAGTTACCTTTGAGTGTGTTACCATATTGGGCGATTTCGATTGATATGCTCGTGCCACGTGGACAACTCAGTGCGATGTATTCGGCATCGCAGCCAGCCTTTTGATATGTCCTCAATGTGCCAGCCAGCAACGCTGTAAATAAATAAAAACAACATATTTTTAGAAATATTTCTTCCGTCGAAAAGTATCAAATTACAAGATCCACTCAACAAATTAATTTCAATAGAGTATCTCATTTTGGTTTTCACCAACTCGACGAACGTAACGATGGTTTTTGTTACAAATAAACGGCGAATTTTTCTTTCATGTCGTTGTCAATGCGATCTTTTATATCACAAAAGAAAGAATACCATTCATTTTGCGTCGCTGAATCGAATAGCATCAAAGCAAATGAAATATGTTGCGTTCACTAGAAGCTACTTATACTTTGAATCTATCTTTAATTAACCATTTGATTGAATCATTATGGTTTTATTGATTTTTCGTTATCTACGTTCGGGTGGTTCGTCGATCAAGGGCGAATGTGCCAACGAAAATGATTTCAAATTCGCAAATCGAAACTCATTTCCGATTTTAATGATTCAATAAGTTTTATTAAGTGGTCATTTTGTTTTCAAATGACTTTGCCTTTTTTCGCTTCGTAAATTTTCTCGATTCGGAGTTTGATTCTTGGTTGGTGTGTGTGTGGTTTTTCCTCCTTCTTTTTCGCTATATTTACAATTTGTAACTTGATCCGGTACGAGTTCAAAGGATTTTCCACCGTTGAAGATTAACTATCCCTCAATATGGAATGTTGTTATCTTTTTATCCTGCGGTTATTTTATTACATTTTTGCCATGCACAAAACCCATAAAAATGGCTGGGGACTTATTACATCTCGACGGAAACTTTCAATTCAACTTCTAGCTTGGAAGCTTTCTGTGAGCAAATTGCTTTGCTGTTCGATGGGAAAAAGGAATAGAAAAAGGCAACGACGATAGCAGCGGCGGAGGCAAACCGACCAAGCAACTTGTGATATTTGAAAAGTTTGCAGTGTTCTAGGTTTCAGTGAATGGTCGCCAGAGAGATTCAATGCATATTATAAGACGAGAGAACAGTAGGGAAAAAAACAAAGCACAAGTACAAATCAAGACTTTAATAGTTTTTCCTATAGCTCTTTCTTTTCTCGTTTTATCGTATGTGTTTGTGTTTGTGTGTGTGATTGAAATGAGGAGCGTAAAATGACTGAAACCGATGCGAAAAAGGTATTTTCTCACATTTATTACTTTTCCAAGTCGATCCAATTTATATGTTTACGGGCATGTCGCATATATATAGTAAAAACAGTGGCATCGTTGGGTTACCGGCATTTGGCTTGTTGGTTTCTTCTAGTTAGCATAATATGCTAATACCAAACGGAGAATATGCCATTGAAAATGTTCTCAACGGCATCACCGCCTGGATCGCGTTACGCAACAAACACCAACCAATGACAACAAGCTCATCTTCATTCGGGCAAATATAAACATACAATAAAAACCCGAAGCAATATCATTCCATTTTGCGTTTTGCAGTCGAAGCGGTGCACACATTGTGTGGAGACAATTTTGGTCGTTGGCTGCCATTGTTGTCGGCGGATGCTTTTGATTTTTCGAAAATCGAATACCACACAAACCAAATTCGAATCGACAGTAAAATGCTTTATTGAGATGAAAGTGCTCTTGACGGTTCTGGTATCAACGTTCAATTGAAACGACGCATCGAAATCTAGTTGATGAAAAAGATTTACGTTCTTTTTCTCCATTCGATTTAAAATAAAAATTTAATTCAAACTTCCAAATGAAGAAGAATCCAAATCGGAGGGAAAAAAATAGATAAATCAAAGTGCAAAGTATATTGCAGTAAACGATAAAGAGACGAATAAAAACGTCAATGATAGAAAAAGATCGAATGCTGTACCTAGTCGTAATGGCCATCACCGTTGATGGTCCCCGCAGCACAAGTTCGGGTGAACGACAAATAAACGACTTCAATCATTCACTGTTCCGTTCACTTCATCCAAAATGCGAACACCGAGCAAACACTTTCTGAAACTTAAATGCTCTCGATGTAATTGTACTGGTTAATTTTTAATTTTCCAATTACCCGCAAATTCTTCATTAATTTTTATATCAGTTCTCTCGAGGCGAGCACTTGCTTAGAGACAAAAAAATACTTGCAAAATTGTCGTCACCCAACTTAGCAAGTGCTTTTGTAGAAGAATCAGGCAAATTCCACCAAAGAAAAAAAAAGAACAGCAACAATGCAGTCTATTTTGTGGTATGCAAGAATCCGTTGTGGGTTTTTTTTATAAATGAATTCTATTAAAAGGGTTATTCATACACTTTTCTTTTCGTTGTTCGTTTTGAGATTTATGGAAAAAGATTTATGTGCTAATGTTGAATGGTTTGCAGTATTTTTTTTTTTGCATTAAGCAAAACCACCGCCGTCGACGTCGAGGCATTGGACGTTCGGTGAAAAATGCTCTCTTTTCGATTTACATACATTTTGTATGGAAGAATATAGCCAATCGTATCGATTGAATTGCGTGCCGACCACAACCGTTCTTCGTCTTTCTTTCCTAGCCCCGGCTCCATTTTCATTCGGAATTTGTTTCAAGGATTATTTGTTTCCTTGTGCATATGTATGTGCGTCTAAAAATGGTCCAAAAGAGACTCTTAATAAAATTAAAAATCGTGAATCGTTCGGTTATTTGCCTCCCGCACTTAAATAATTCAGCGCGATGTTTTATATTGCGGTAAAGGGTATTTTTCGACTATGCTAAAAGAAAATGTGTTGCCAATCGATAAGAAAACAAATAAATTTAAATAAACCGTCTTCACAATGGGTCCACGTGAATATTCCCACGGTGTCATCCCTTCTTTTTCTTTCAATCGGCCCACACAAGCAAGGAGGTAGAGAATTACCGAGGCACTTTAGGAGATTTTCGATCGAAAACTTTTGTTTCCACTCTCTTCGAAATGAATCCGAAAAAAAACTTGAAGCGCAAATATAGAGCGCTTTTAGATTACACAGAATTAAAACAAACTTAATCCTCTTGACAGTGAACATCTCTTCTGGTCGTTTTTCTCTCTCTTCTGCGCACTGCGTGTATAGTTCTGTAACCATGCATTAAAAACGATTAAATTGTTAATCTGCAGCATTTTCTTTTCACACATCACAGCAAAAATTTCATCGCCGTTTTACTCTTCTCTCTCTCTCGCCGCCACAGTAATAAGTATAATTCGCATGTATTTCGTGGCGGAAGTAAAATGTGAGAAAATAGCAGATCGTCTCATAAATCAGACGTGTAATTTTCATTAACGAGCTGTGAATTTTGTGCAATCGTTTTTTTCCCACTCTTCAACCGGATACGCATGAAAAAAAACGCATTCTGCATGCGCAAGTAATTAAAATATGAATGTAACTCCCGTGCAAATAGTGCAAAGCTCATAAATTATTTCTGGATGCGCTCAGTACAACTTTTTTTCCCTGCAAATTGAATTTCATTAGTGCTCACGCTTTATTATCAGTCGTAATCAGATTCAACGCCATCCATGGGAAGCGAGAAGTGTGAAAATCTCTCACACAATTGTAATTGTTGTTGGTGTTGCAATTTTTTTTCTTTCGCATCGCACATTGTACTAATTTACATCGAGAAGAAAATCACAAATCCTATTTTTATAACAAGCGCTTTTGCAAAATGTTAATCTTTTGCATCCATGCACACTCGCCGTGTGTAAATCAGTGATAAATGGAAATGAAGATTTTCAAACAGTTTATTGTTTAACAGCATTTATTTTCATGTTGAATGCCATGGAATTCAGTTTTAATATTCATTGTTTGTTTACTTTTTTCAATTGTGTGTGTTGTGCTCTCTCATTCAATTCGTATGCGTTTTTTTTCTCCATTGGAAAGATCAAAAGACCGCATTTCACATGAAAACAATTTTCCAACCTGTGCAATGCGTGCTATAAAAAAACCGCCGAGCCATGTACCAACAAAGCATCATACAATCATTGAATTTATTTCACGATCACCAAAGATAAAAGCAATTCCATTTCTGTTGTTTTTTTCTCTCTCCTTCAATTCAATGGCTGCGGTTGTATTATCTGCGTACACTATTTTCATGGTTACAATTTTTGTTATTCCTTTTTGTGTGTCATTCAACGAAAAAGAGCTCGCAAATCAACAAACTGAGTGAGCGGATGAACAAAATAAAAACGAACGGATATTGTATGGCGAGATTGAGAGTGTATATTCAAAGAGATAAACAATGGTTTAACTAGGTCTCTGTGCACTTTTATTATTCGCCTCCCAAAATACCACTTCGGCTGCTGTGTGTTATGTGCATTCTTTGTTTGTGCCGCGCTTAATTTATATTTACAGTTATATTTTTCACGTTCGTTGTGTGTATGATTTTCATCCGGTTCATAAAATTATGGTGTAGAATGAAGAAGAAAAAAACAGTTGAATATTGTAATTTTGTTGTTGAACAAAAAAATGAAAACCACAACAACCTGACCGTTGTTACTCCAAATTCTGTTATGAATATTTTTTTGAATTCATTGTTCATTGCTTCTCAAAATGTTGAAAGGCCCATTCAATGCAAGTGCATCCAAAAGAGTAATAATTGCCCGAAAGCATTTGGCAATTACGTTTTTTTGCTAAAAAAGTTAATAAAATGTTTTTTCTCCCTGTAGTAAATCAATTTTGCATTAACAGGAGGAAGCATTGTTTCACAAATTATTATACACGCGAATGAAAATACACCATTCATACATAATTTCACGGAAATTTGTATCACCATAAAACGATTGTTTTTTCTCGCTGGCAAAGAAAAATTAATTAAATTTACGGTTTTTGCGATGGATTCAATTGAACAATTAGTGTTTTCCATTTTGTACACAGATGAAATTCAACACGATCGCTTGAAAAATGGGTGCGTCGTTTTTATTGAATCGTTCTAGCGCATTGCATGGATTCTTCGAATGCATGTAGTGCATGGAATTGGTGTACTGTGCATGTAGTGCGTGGATTGCCCGAACGCATGCAGAAATCGAACCGAAGGAGAAAAAAGTCTGTTTCCACTTAAATCGATCCTTTTATCTGCC